AAGAACTTCCGCAAATAAGCAAATAAACATTCTTGTTGCAAGAATTGCCTCTTGCATGAGTGAATTCAAACGCGAACTAAAGATGAAAGCATTTATCACTCCATACTTCAATTATTTCAGCTATATTGGACACTTTGTAGTAAGAAAATAACAACAAAATCAGCAGAAAACACGAGTAGAATTGAATAATCATTACCAAGCAACATTTGAATGACTACTGGGAGAGAGTAAAACAACTATCCCTAATAATAAAAACATGCAATATCTCTTTATTGAAATGGTTTAATCCACCATTCATGGAGGAAATATTCTCTCCCACCCAAAGGCGGATCCAGAAAAAATTCAAAGGAAGGGCAGTTGGTAGTGGGGCGCTGAAAAATTTACAAAGATTGGTGACTAGTGTATACTGTATACAACAATTTCAGTCCCTAACTACTGATAGAAGGCTCTCCATTCACGTTCTAAAGGAAATTCTCACAATAATTGTTGTATACTTTGAGGTAATCCTTGAAGTAAATTAATCTATAAGTCTCAGAAAACTTTTTCACCTCATTCTCTTTCTTGAAAAGGGGCGCACAATTTCCAAAAAGTGGCGCCAGACCTGCTTCAACTCGGTGAGGGAGGGGCATCTGCCCCCCTTGAATCCGCCACTGCTCCAGCCCCACTGGATGTATATACAACTAAAGACATGCAAAATTTAAGAACGTGGAGTCAAATTACAAAATTTATAGATTTGATACTGTCTTGAATAGATGTAGAGAATTTGGGAACAATATTCCAATTAAAAGATGTAAAAATCAAATGTAGATGTAAAGATGGACGATTTTCTGTAGATTCTTTACTACATTTGAACGTGCAACGTAGTTTTTCAGATTGAGCTTAGATATCTTATGTTCTTAAGGCCACTGACGACCGGGGGGACCAGTATACAAGACCTCCTTCCCATATTTTGTCAAAAAAATTTATCGCAAAGCACTCAGTTCACCCTTGCCCCCCCCTCCATGCAACCGGCGTCAGAAGCCCTACCGGCTAAATATAACTATTAATTCGCCATTTTCATGCCTTTGTAATCATGTTGCTGTTTTTGTTGTCATGTTGAGTTGTATTTGCGTGAAAATAAAAAAAAACGAGAAGTGGAAGAAGGTATAATTTATCTCAAATTAGCTAGGGTTGGCACAGGAAAGGGAACGCAAACATAAAGATGTAAATTTACGAAAGAAAAATGATTTTAAAGTATTTCTAGAAAACTTACGGAAATAACATAAAGCGAAAAATCAACACAAAACAACAAACTGATGAAAATTTTGAAATAATCATACCAATCAAAAGAAGAAAAAATAATCACCTGTGATTTCTAATCACGAACACTTTTTGGGGAGGATTGCAATTCAATTCAATGCAACTCAATAGCACAAACTCTCGTGTTGGGGACATGTCATGAGGAGAAAAAGTAGCGCTGTTATTATTTTGTTTCTTATGATAAGCTCAACCTCAGCTGCTTAACGATGGGTCAAATGTTGTGTGGCATATTCAGGCATAAAGTTCGTGTTGGTGAAAGACAATTCGTAGTTGTAAAGGATGTCGGTGAAGGAGGTAATTCAGCACAAATCATTTTTATTATGTAGACCCTGTTATGTGCAAATTCTCTTTAGCTGGGAAGCGGCACAACACAGTGAATTATGAATACCGAAGACAAAAATTAATCATGAAAATAGGTCTAAATTAAGACATACTGTTTCAAAACAGTAGGCTTCAAAAGTTAAACTGCATGCTGTAAAGAGCAACAATTCGATTTAACTGCAAAGTTAGGCCTACGTAAGGCACATAGTGCGCTTGACGAGCGGTCCAATGCAGCTGAAAATTAGCATAATAATTGGAAAAACTGTCTCCTCCTGTTTCTAAAATTCAGTAAATTGACCGAAGTCATTTTTTTACAAAATCAAGCACCGCGGAGCGTTGAGAAAAGTGGGGAGTCTAAAAAAGTGGGGGAGGGGGACTAAAGAGAGGCTTTACTGGAAGTTTATTACTTGATATTCGCCTTCTTTTGCAAAAAGTGGGGGGCTAAAGCCCCTTCAGCCCCCCTGCTCTGCGGTACCTGAAAATATCAGGCTTCCATGAAAACAATCTGTCACATTTTCTTATCAAGGACCTTCCCCCACACCAGTGATGTGCCAAGACAATTTTGTTTGGGGAGTGTTCAGAAAAAAGTGACCAACTTTTCTTGTTTGGCCTACTATTTCTCCATAGAAAATTCATTAACAATGAAATAAATGATCATATAAACACTTGATGTTAATAAGTAAGAGCAAATGATGGCATGAAAGTATAAGAAAATTAAGTTTACAGAAACTAATCTTCCTGGAGTTTTTGTTTTTGGGTGAATCCATGAGCATCTTTTTGCGACAATGCCCTTCAGATTAGCTTAAAATGCATCTCAGAAAACTTCTTGCAGTTATTCTTGCAGTCATTTCTTATAGTCGCTAGCTTGCTCCTTATAGCAAGTTATTTGCAATACACTCTTTTTTGTACAAACCAGTGAGTTTGAGTTCAGGCTGACTGTTTTTTCGCAAAATCTGAGGGTGGATTGTTCTTGATTTGTTCCTAAATTAACAGGCTGTGAGCAGTGGGATTGCTAACTTTTTCGCTCAAGAGAGGTGTTCAGGCCTTATTTGCCAACAAAGGGAGTGAGACAACCTTCATTTTCCTACAAGTTTGAATATTTGCCGAAAAAGCATCCAAACATGGCTAAAAGCATCCTCATTTTTTAGATAAAAGGTTGTTCAAAATTGCATTTTTCAATAGCTCAACCTCAGCTTGTTCTTAATTTGTCTTTAACTTTTGACCAATGACTAACCATGACCAATAAAATGAATGAATTACAGGTTGAAATTTGATCAAACTTCATAATTAATGCTAAGGTTCTCTCTGCATGACCAACGTTCTTAAAGTTTGCAGAACTTGGGGGGGGGGCATGATGCCCACCACACCCCCCCCCTTTTGACAATTCCATGCCCCACACCCCACTGTGTAGCAAAGGACCCAGGCACAATGTACACAGTGCCAGACCATTTGCTCAGTTTCAATATTTTGTATTATCCTTTTCTTAATTTGTTCTTAACTTTTGACCAATTTTGAGGCTCATTTTAATTGACCTATTTTAATTGATCTTATGAAAAAAGCGTATTCATATTTTTTGTGAGATAGAATTTTTATCTCTTCTCCAAACAGTTGGTGTGAGGTCAGATCTATGGTTAGGATCACAAACTACAGATCCAAAATTTTAGGGTTAAATTTCCTGCAATTACCAAACTTTTACAAAGACTGAGGAGAGTTACTAAATCTCTATAATTCTAGGTGATAGGAACTGCTAGATATGGTCACAGCCAGAGGAGACTGTTCAATTAGCATTTTGTCAATGTTCTAAAACTACCTTTAAAAGCTAAGCAGCAAGAAAAATGAAGAAACAAAAGTGCTACTTTTCTTTTCATGTAATGCAATTAATTTGATTGCAAATCATATTTATTCAAACTTCTTAGTGACAGGCAGGAAAGCTGTTCGCAATAAAATTAATTGGGTCTGTTCCAGTTTTATAAGCTCTCGTTTGCATCATGGTGTCTTCAAAGATCTATAACAATGTTTTGTAAACAGATTAAAAGCATTTGTCAGTATATTTTCAGCCTAATTTACATACTGGGCCAACATCAGAAGATGTTTCTGATGATGCTCTGACACCCTTGAATTTTATTACCAGAACTCTATTTACCGAACATGGAATCAACATTTACTATGATTTCAGCTTTTCACTGAGCTTGGACATGAAATCTTTTTTCCTTGGTCAAGTGATCCCTTTGGTAAATTCAAATACTTAAAACACATGGGAATAGTCCAGTTTACAAGCTGAAAAGATTGCTTCTACTTCTGCTAACTTTAGCTACATAAGCAACTGGAACATTTATTTTGTTTTTTTGTTTATTTTATGCTCCATATCCCAGAAGCTTATTTAGATCTGCCCCTTTTGGGTTTCTTTCTACAGGAGTAGTTGGAGATTTAAAAGCAGGATGTCCTTCTATTTGCTAAGGAAAAATATGGACTCTTAGGTTTTGGTTTACCAACTGCATTTTTCAGCCTTATCATTATGATAATGCAGCTTTTGTTAATGTGAAAGCTTCAAACTATGAATATGGGTTTCAAATACTGTCAAATTTTGAATTGCTTTCCTACCCGGGGGTCGTTCTTTCAACCAAAGAACTTTACTTGGTTTTTGCCAAGTTGAATGTCCTGTGACACAGCCCCTTTGTTGGGACCTTGCTGGGTTGAAGCTCACTGTGCAACAGGGGCGGACACTTGGTCAAATATTGGGGGGGCAAGCCTATTGTTTTAATAAGATGACGTCACATTTCCCATTGTTTTAGAACAAAAGACCATTGTTCTCTAAAGTATTGGGGGGGGGGGCGATCGCCCCCCAAGTCTCCACCACTGCTGTGCAAGTCATACCTGCATCACAGAGTTGTCACAATGATGCCCATACTTAAGTTTAGAAAAACTAATGATAACTATTCAACAAAGAAATTGCCAGCTTTGGTAGTAATTGTTTGATGAGCATTGACTATTTCCTAGAAAGGTTGTTCCAAAATATTTTATTTAGTCCTTGGCCCTAGCCTTGTACATTTTGGATTTGTTGTGAAATTTGATTTAGTTAGAACTTTTGCAGCAAACATTTTAGAGCATTAACAGGCGTTAAGCCCCCAAATTAAAAGTTGACATCAATCCACTTGTTTTGAAAGGCAGTCCTTCATTCCATTTTTTTCTGTGCTATCATTTGTATTATAAAACTTTACCTGATTAGGATACCTTTTATTTCTATTCTTATAAAGTTTTGGTGCCATGTTCTGTCCTCAGGTAGTTTTTTGAAAATATTCTCAGATTATCCATTTCTTGTATGATTGCTATTTTTCTTGATTTGATTGGTTATAAAGCAACACAACAAAGAGAATCCAATGTAGTGAAATAGAATTAAATATAATATGAATTTAATAAATACTAATATTTCACCCCAGCATACAGGCTGCTTTCTAACCAGTAAAATTGCTAGCTTTCTAACATTAAGCTAAAGATTTCTACCAACTAAACAGAAAAAGAACTTGACCTCCCACATCCTTGAACCCAAAATGTTATAAAGTCTATTTTGGGATTTTTGTCTTGATAAAAACTTGAACATCATATTGGTAAGTATCACGCCTATTACAAACTGAAAATATGAAATTTAGTCATCACTTCGGCTGCTGTAGATTTATTAGTCTGTAAAAAGCAGATTCTTTTTTGCTATTGATGCTAGTTGCACCACAAAAATTAAAGGATAAAGAAAACACTTGTCTGGTTTAACATACAGTTATTCATTTTGCAAGATGTTTTCTTCACATGGCAATTGTTGTGTTAGGACAGGCTGCCAGTTTGCTCCTGTTGTATAAACCATGTGAGACAATTGGTTGATACAAATATTCAGTGCAGTAGAGTGTTGCATATGCAGTGTATGTGCACATCCCAGCAATAATCCACCACCATCTTTTTCTCCAGACCCGAATAACTGGGATATTGTAATAATATGTAAGAACCTTTGTACATAGTAAATTGAATATTAACTCAATTGAAGCTGCAATACTGACTCTTTCTACAAATGGAGTTACCATGTCATTCCACTTGTTATTTCCATTGCCATAGTAAAAGGTTAATATAGCAACTAAGGCACAGCTGAAAAGAATAGTGTCAGTTTCCAAGATCATGCCTGAAATTGACTGCTCAGCAAGTAGTCTATTCATTGCCGATTGGCGTTTCTTTTCCTGTGCCTTCCCATCCTGAATTCCTGCACATGATTTGCAGAGTTTACGGTATGCTTTTAGTCGCAAGTTCAATGTTAACTTATCAAAAAGGCTTTCAAGTCCATGGACCACACAAATGATTGTGAAAATTTTAATTTCTTCAATATTTGCTTGAAGAAATCGTGCAATAATTATCACAATTGTATGAAAGCCAACTACTAGAATGGAGGAATATCTAGTACTACAATAATCTGACACATCAACAAGGCACACATTTATGACAGCCTTTGGCAGAATAAAGACAACTGGGAGAAAGACAGAGAAAACAGCCTTTGTTGTGTCTGAAGGGACCCTGGCATAGACGGGGAACAGAAGGTAGTTCATCAATATGAACAGGGGTGTACCAAAAATAAACCCCATGCCAAGTTTGGCCGCAAGAATGACACGTGGCTTTATGTCTCTTGAAAAAAGCAGCGTTATCCGGTAGAAGTTGAATGTTGTTATTGCTACAAATAACACATTCAGTGGATATGATGTCCATGAGTGATGGTATACGCCATATGTATGTAAGAATAAGCGGTAAATAGCGTCAAATGATGCAGCGAGAACGTTCCAAACAGGAATATTGAGATCTTTGAGTTGCTTTATTCCAAACATGAAAAGCAATGCGCTGAACGACCAAAACTGAATAAATACCCCTTCAACCACTTGTGCTGTTAGTCTCACTCGCTTAATAGAAACTGGGAGCCCCTTCCAAGCTTTGCTGTAACATGCCTCTGCCAGCCGCAAATCAAGCCAAGCGAGTGTGGCTGTATAAACTCCTAAGGGTATTCCGAAGATGATTGTTGTAGAAAAAGCGAAAAATAGACAGCGAAGCGTAGATTTATAGAAAGAAGGACGACCAACTTTCCAGTCCAGTTCTTCATTATGTACTGTCCTGTCGTCGAATGAACGATACAAAAACACATCGCTGGGCGAGTCGATAACTGCGCAGGTGTACTCTTTGCACAACTCATCTTCAAAGGTGTTCCTTTCGTTTGCTGAAAGTTTCTGAATATCATGTTCTGTTATGTTGCTGGAATTCTCGTTTAAGTTTTTCTCCTTGCAGGCCATTTCGCTTTCTCTTTCCGCCACAGTGTCAACGCAGAAATGGCCTGCGTAGCCGGTCTGAAACACGGAATAAGGGTCACGGATTAACCATAGAAACACAGAATAAGGGTCAAAGACGGAAATTGACGTTTTTGTCTGGAACGCGTCTGGGGCTGGCCACTAATTTCGCCGTCCTTTTATCTGTCACACTATTCAGACAAGAAATAATGCCCTTGGAGGAAAAACAAAAGACAAAAGTTATGATTGAAATTCAATTAGTCTGTACAGTCTAGTTTTAAAAAAATTAAAAAAATATTTCCCTAACTTCGTGTATTAGCGTGGCACTTGAAAACGTCCAAAGTGCCTTTTTATTGGCTCAAGGGGCCAACGCAATGGCTTGTCGGCAAATGCAAAATCATTATACATTCGTTAATTTTGTTTTTCATCTATTTCTTCAATATTTTAAACTTTGAAGATATATGTTTTTTCAAAATGCTAAAGATTCACTAGGAGCGCTAGAAGCAATTTGGCAACGTGGTATTATTTTTGGCAACAGTCGCAACTTAGAAATTCCCCTTCAACAATTTTCTTTAGCTTCGCCTCTAAAAACCAGCTCCCCGTCCACAGTTTTGAAGTATGCGATAAATCTGCTTCAACGATAAAGATCTGGTAACATTGTCTGACAAGTAAACACTGACATTGATTGAAAAATCATCTTCGTTCAGATGTTAGGCCCAAAAGTTGCCTCGGGGGGATCAATATAAAAAAACCCTTGCTGGAAACCCTTGATCTCAGACAGGGACCTCAGATATGCTTTCAAAAACTGGTTGATATCAAGTTTGAAAATTGACTCCCGAAATGGGCGGGTCTTGAAAATTAGCCAACATATGATACGGCCCTTTAAGTTTCATAGTCCCCCCTCCCCCGATTGGGTTCCTGTCGTATTTTCTAATATTATGATAAGTATTTATTGTTATCATCGCTTAAACTATTTTCCAGCATTCTCATTCGTCCAGCTGGTGCAATACAAGGATGACCTGTTTGCAATGGTATGTAGCAAATCCAGATCAGAAGCAAGGTATGTCGTTGGGAAGGGCGGAGTGGTTCAAGATGCCGTCAGTTATTGAAAGCGACTACATTTTAACTTTAAAACAGTTCCCATAGAAATCTAGATGCTTTTGAAACCTAGAAAGTCTCTCAATGCAGGATCGCTCCGTGCGCTCTCAATTGTGACTCACCCTTTCAAGCTGCTGTTCACGGCATTGCAACAGAAGTTGCTGGCCGATTGCCCCGTTTAACATGTCATTTCTGTGTGACACAGTTTTTTGCCCTTGCAACGGTTGCCTGAAGGAAAGTGAGTACCATTTTGGCAAAATTTTCAGATGTTTGCATTGCCATTCCACCTTGTTTTATCGATTATTGCAACCTTGATCTACCGCCTTTGTTTACAGGCTATCCTATTTTCCAGTATTTTCAAAGACAGTTGTCCGGTCTTATTAAAGCGCGTCCTAACCTAAAGCAGGAGGAAAAAGACATACCTCAAAAAATTTGAGATTCTCCCATGAATGAAAATTACCGAAGGTGAAAAAAGCTTTCCTGCAGATGTAAAGAAGACTTATCAACACCAATTAATGCATACCTTGCAACTGCAGTCTATGTAAAGTTTTTTATCCAAGTTTAGGTTTTTATTGTGAATTCAATAAATTCTATTTTTCTAATAGTATTTTCCTAATCTAGTTGTATCTTTCTTATAGTATATTGTATGTATTTTCATAAATAGTTAGCCATAATTAGCAATTTTAGCTATTGATTATTCGCCAACTCTAACTCAAAAAATTAATAATAATATTCCGTTGTTTCAAGTTGCATAGATCGTTGCCCCAACAAAAAGAGGTTGAAACACCTTCTCTTACCTTTGCCCGAGGGACAAATCACTCCAAGAAAATCCCGTCCACCTTTTGTGAAAATTTTTTTGTTTTGTCTGAAAATCCCCGAAAATCCTTATATTTTAGGGGAAATCTCGTACGCTACTTGCAAGGGTGAATTATCACTCGCCTTTGCCAGTTTCTTGCAACTATCCGCTGTTGACTTCTTCGTCTAGTAGATGATAGTCCGAATCCAATTTTTTGGTTCGTAAGCCTTTTCGTTGTCTCCTGTTCCTCCCCTCTCTTGGCAGAATGTTTTTTGTCAACCAAAGCTTATCTGAATCCTTTTTTCAATTCGTTGCACCTCAATTTTCATTTTCTCGTTTATTGTCCTTCCTTTTTTGTTAACTTAAATCCGTTTGCTTTGCACTTTCATTTTATTTGTATCAGTTTCTTTTCATATTAGTCATCAATAAAATCTCTTACATCACTTTCCTTATTTTACTTGTTTTCCACTGAAAAGAATTCATTGTCTGCCCCCTTAGTACCCTTTCTTCTGTCTTTTGTGAATACATTCTGACCATTTCTTAAATCTCCTTTTGAAATTAGTTCTTCGTGATTTACAATTTCAATTTGTATCTTTATTTTAGAAAAGAGTTTTAATGCAAGTTCCTGAACATGAAGAGGTACGAATCTTCTATACGAAGCAATAATTTGCGATTGGCAGCTTTATTGGTGCAAAATTGCCGTTTTTTGATAATTATAGCAACCATGTCTACACTAAATGCCTTTATTTTCGTTTAAATGACCAATCCTAGGAAAGAAACTGTCAATATCTACTTGGGCAAGTAATTTATTATGTTCTTTCAGGTAGTGTGGTCCCAATTTTATAAATCCTTAAATTGTAAACTCATTGTCCGATGTCCTTCGCAAGGCCTTGAAAATGGTTAAGTCGGTATATTTTCTGAATGCTCATTTCAGTTCGAAACTTTTCAGCGTTGTACGCTTTTAGGTATTTTTACAAGTTCAACCGAAGCATACGCATGTTGTTTTTCAGATGGTCGATCGTGAAGTTACGGCTCACAGGCTTTTTGATCATCCTAACATAATGCCTCTTATTGACTACGAGATTGTCGTGAAAGGGGAAAATAGAGAAGCCAGAATGTTATTTCCATTTTACCAGGTGCTAAATTTTTTTTAACCTCTGCGTGCTGTGTTATGAATGGTTTTACATATGATATTGAGTCATATAATCCTTGTTATTTTTTCGCTATGTTAGAACTGTATTTATTATTGATTTTCCTAAACGTAGCAATTTCTACATTCTTACAACACGTTTTACTGTTAGTTTAGCACTTACTGTACAAGTCAGTAGCGGCGCCACGGGGAGGACTGGGGGAGGACACGTCCCCCCCCCCCAGTTCTCAGCAGAATCGATTTCGTATTTCGTCTAAATTCAATGAGAAAATGTTGGGTGAGGGGTAATAATTTGGCACCGTACTTTTTGTGATGTAATCCTATGATTTTCAAACTGCCAATTGTCAAACAAAAGTTAGTCATGGGCGTTCCCTTCGAATAAAATTAACGTTCCCTGTTGGTAAAAGGGTGTTTTCTGGTGGTTAAAAGGGCGTGGCTTAAATTTTGTTGGTTTGTCCCCCCCCCCACCCCCCAGAGCTTAGTGGCTGGCGCCGCCATTGGTACAAATAACATTTTTCCCGCCGTAAATTGTTGCAACTGATGGTGTGCATTCGGATTTGCCTGTTTTAGAAATTATATACGGGTTTTATTGCAAGTTGCTGTATATTCTCAATAAAGTTTCTTATTAATTTAGTAGATTCTTTCTCGACTCATACTTTTCTGTCTTTTGCCATCCCCAGAGCTGTCTCTGATTATTCTTAACTTTGGTGCTCATACTGCGCATGGTTTACACACACTCAGTGACGTAGCATCTCCCTCAAAAGATACCCCCAATTATACTCCTTTGCTTTAGTTTCCCAGTGGGTATTCAGTTACAGAATACAGAGTTTTATGGTCATTTTAATTTTAGAATCGACCTTTTTGTAGAATGGCTCTGTGCAAGAGCTAATTGAGAATTCCGCAGCACGTGGTCAAAGAATACCAGAGAGAAAAATCCTGCACATGTTTGAATCGTTGTGTGAAGCAGTTTCTGCTTTCCATTCGCTTTGTCCACCCTACGCGCATCGAGATATCAAGGTACAACTTGGCAATGTTCTTCTTATTGATATCAGACATTTTGTGGAAAATTTGTTTATGATTTTAGTTACTGATGAGATGTCAGCGTTTTTGAGCTCTCTGTTTTTATCTCTATTTTAACTCTTTACGTCAATTCTCTTGTAAAACAACTACGATTTAAGTTTGTTCTAGCCAGCCAATTAAATTGTGCCATTTTTGTTGGCTGTCTTCTACATTATTCGTGTACTAGAAGTTCTTTGGTTCGCTTTGGTTGTTGTGATCCTCTCTTCCTTTCTCCTTTTCATTTCTGTATCCTTTTTGTATTGATAGCGTTACTTCCATATGTGTTCATACTTTTTCCCGTATCATAACTCATGTCAATCTGTTTAATATATTTGCAAATCTTGCTAAATATTCCTTTTAAAAAAACAGTTGCCAGGAATTGAGTAGTAGTGCTTTCTTATTCCAAGCCACACAATCTGCTGCTAAGAGAAGATGGAACAGTGTGTTTAATGGACATGGGAAGTGTTTCGGAAGCTAGGGTCGAAGTCCGGTCAAGGTACCATTCTCTAGCTTTTATTCTTATTTCTCACTTCCTTGAGATGAAACACACGTACTTGCCTGGTAACAGACAACAAAACGACGGTTGGCGCAATAAAATTTTTGATTCGAAGCCTTGATCGAGGTAGATTGAGGAGAATTTGAAAACCAATGCTGGGAGCGATTAGCTCCTATCGACACAAAATGTCAAGACGGTTGTTTAAATAGATTTGCCACCGTTGTGTATGAGCTACAGTGATGAATTCTTTGGGCACTTGACACCTGTGAGAGTTTGTCAGTTTAGATCTCTGGCGCTGGTTCCATTCCCACTCTTAAGCGCTTCATCATTCCTTTTTGGCCTTACGATTATTACAACAACATCTTTTTTTGTAGATCGGAGTCCTTAGCTCTAGAAGAAAAGTGTGCACAGGAATGTACTGCAGCCTACCGGTAAGCTAACCAACATGGAAAATAGAACGCCATTTTGCTCCCATTCAATTCTCTTTTAAAAGTGATAGAAAAACATTGTTTTGAAATTATGAAAGGCTGACCCCAGCCCCCTCGCTTCCGAGGGCGCTGCTTGATTTCATTTGATTTGATTTTTTCATTTATTCAGATTTGATTTGATATTTATTCAGGGTAATACATTCAATAATGAAAATATAATAACTGATTTACAATGTGTCCTGTCTAAAAACCTGAGCTAATCGACATACAATTCAATAACAAAGTTAAACGAAAATTAATATACAAGATAGGCTGGTTAGGAAAGAAAAAATAAAAAAAAGTTTGATGCTGTGCAAGATGTCTCACTCCCTTTGATTTTACTAGGATTGTTTCAGCAATTTTTGAAAGTAGCCAGTGGAGGGGCTTTTTAACTTCAGTGCTTAGTTACACCTCGATATGAGAAACTACGTTGCCTGTTTGAGGTTGCAAAGCGAGGTATTTAAAATCCGTGTCGGTATCATATCAAGCATTATTTTTGTATCTCCACAGAGCCCCAGAACTGTTTTCCGTGGCTTCTGAATGTCGAATCGATGAAAAAACGGACGTATGGTCGCTAGGTTGCACATTATACGCCATGGCTTACGTCAATAGTCCGTGCGATGGATCGGCGCTCTCCGCAATGAGCGGGCGGATTTCGATTCCTGAAGACAGGTAATACGCATTTCAGCAACTAAATTTTTTAAAAGTTATTTTTATCTACAATCAAGATTTCTTTTCCTTGGGATTGATTTTTCCTTGGTTTCGTTTCCCTCGATCTTTTGAGCTGACAACTTTTACAAATGCCTCACTGAACGCATGGTTCTGCCAGCAGCATCTCGTTAAATGAAACTGTACGCTTGTTAGAATAGGTTAGGAAAGCTTCATTTGGAGATCAGTACTGAATTTTTTTTACCTTAAGTTGCCTAGTATCCCAAGGGCCTGCCTTTCTTGTGTAATGTATTGTCACCTAAAGAGTAAATTCTATACGGCTTTATACGGCTTTTAGTATGCGAACATAGACTCTAGGAGGGGGGAGGGGGGGGGGGGAGTAACTAAGCCTGGCTTACGACGAGGAGGTGCGATTTTGGTTAAAAATTTTGACACAATTCGGCGCGTGTTAGAAAAAATGTGACCCATAGTTCCGCAAACATGATGAAAACTATACCCATAATTCCGCAAGGCAATAAACATTTTCCAAGGCACAACAACAACATCAAGCAAATGTTGCATGTCCTTTGCCTCCAAAATCTCAATACTACAAATAAATTTCATACTTTCATTTCTAACTGGAAATTCAGTTTTGTTGATAATAAATTTCCCGCCTGATAATTTTGCAATATTTTCCCAAAATAATACTCATTATTTTCCATGTTTCTTCAAATGGTACCGATAATTCTGCACTTTTCAGAAAAAAGAACCCATAAAAGTTGGCCCGTCAGTACCTCAAAACTATTGTGTAAACCCCCCCCCCCCCCCCCCGAGCATAGACAAATTTTGTCCCTAATTTCTCTTAATGCCCCTTCTTTGACGTTACCTCTAGCTGCCCCCCTACCGTATCTTATCGATACCTTCTATTCGATACCTTCTGCAGTGAAAACTTTTTTATTTTCACGGAGAACTACGTAAAGGTATAATTATGTGTTAATGCTGTGTTTGTCTTTGAGATGTTTTAATTTTGATTTTCTGAAGCGTTTGTTCTTTTTTCTAGCCCGTTCTCATCGACCTTCAACAATCTGATAAAGTACATCCTTCAAGTCGAACCTCAGAATCGCCCAACTGTCAAAGAAATTACCCAGTATATAGAAGCTAATTTTTCCGAAGCATGATGCAATAGTTCTTTGATAGATTTAGATACTTTGAAGTATCCCTATGGGAATATAACCTCAAGGTTGGGGTAAGTGATAAAATGGGTAATAAAATAATAACGAAACATTTGTTCGATAACATACGTAGTTTCATATTTTAAAATTAATGTAGCTAGTCTGGTCGCCTTTAAACTATTCCTTTTTTATAAAATAGATGTGTGGTTTGATTTTAAATAAACATTATTTTTTTATTAAAATCCAAATTATCTTATCTTTTTCTTGTTTGGAAACCGTTTAGTCTTGCAATAAATAAAGATAATCTAGATTTTACGGAAGCTCGAAAATCTGCAGAGGCTTAGATAAGGAAGGAGCTGCCCCGAACCATGAATAATGTTGCGACCATCTTTCTTTGAAATTCATTGTTATATCAAATTTAAATACACTATGTTGGATTCGGAGAAAGGATGAAATCTGAATGATGTTGAACCATCCGAGTCATTGTTTTGACATATATTGGTTCAGAATGTTGAACACTGACTTCAACAAACACGAAGTTTATTGCCTGGTAGTATTAATAACATCCTTTAATATCTTGTCGAGATGTTTTCTTTGTATGCACAAAGATGGTTTATATCCGTAAGGTATCTGATGAAATACACAAGCCTTTTTAATGCTGGAGATTTTGCAATTTTATTGCCTTTAGTAGTGATATCAATTTGTGTAATAAAGTCTTTGAAATCCGAAAGTGTTTTTCTTGACAATATTTTTATTCTGAGTTCTCATTTCCTTGAGATGAAAAGCATGTGCTTGCCTCTGGAGAGATATGACAATTGCAACTTGACAACAGAGCCGGCAAATCAGGGGGGGGGCAGGGGCTGGGGTGGTGTCATAACCCAACCTTTCTGCAGTGTTAAATAAATTTTCTAATTAAAAGTAGAAAGAAATTAAGTCCACCCTTAAGTTTTTTTGCTGAATATTCGGTTTACTATTCCCTTAGCTATGTCTTTACCATTTAAATATTAGAATTTGGCCGAGCCATTTTCCAAGTTGAACGTTACATGTTGTACTGTGTGAGTAACAACTTTTCACAAAGTAATCGCTTTTCATAAACCGCTGTACGATTTTTGGATTGCGTGCTTATTTCAGCAAAATAGTTGGAGAAAAGCGATCCAGAATAACTTTGTGCCAAAGCCAAATGACGAATTTGTTTTCTCTATGGCCTAAACATGCTTCACAAGTTCTATCTTTTATCAAGTGCTTTGAAAGTATCGTCATAAAAGCTTTAAAGACTGATTTAGCCCTGTACGATAGCCCTGTACTGCCAAAAAGGAGAAGAAAAGCAACTGATGGAACTGTAAGCGAATATTTCGTGGTAGAGAAGGACTTAAACAAGGTAAGCATACTGTCCTTCCTAACCAAAAGGACACAAAAGAACATTATTACCACTTTGAAATTCTAGACGTGTTAAAACATTCTATTAGATATCGTTCGCCTAGCCCACGTCTTATTAGAAGCACTTACTTCCGAAATTTTTTACCATAAGATTTTACGTTATAATACCCCAAACTTTTCAAAATTCTTTTTTTTTATTTCTAGTTTATGTATTTCTTCTGTTGATATTTTTATGTTAATATTTTGTTTATAATCTGTGTTTAATTTATTCCTCGTGAAAACTTTTTATTATAGTCGCTGCACTAGAAAGTTTTTACTAAAGCTATTGAAGACTTCTCGAAATTCCTGTCAACTTAGATGAAACTATAGTGATGGAAATTCCTGACAATATTGCCTCGGATTTTCCTTCCATCGCAATTTATTTTCGATCAATCAAACCTTCAACAAATTTAATATTTTGGCCCCTGCCACTTTCAATATTTCTCTGCCCCTTGGGACAGGCTTATATGATTTACAAAATATGATTTACAAACTCGGGCCAGACGGGTAGGCAACACAGGCCAAATGTTCAAAAAAGGCCAAATCAAAAAATACCTCCCAAAATTGCAATGCGCATGCGCTGGTTTTATATTCCTACGCATGCGTTTTAAGTATTCTCTTAACTCAAGTAAGAAACTTACATCTTCTTTAAAACAATCCTTATAATATTTTACATATGGGCGTAGTAAACTACTAATTGCTCCATTTCTTTCAATTTAGAATTTCTGCTGAAAAAGGCCAAAAAGACCAAATTTAAGTAGTAGACCAAAAGCAAATTTCCCAGGCAATTTAACTATGAAAAAGGCCAAAATTGGAAAATTTGGCCTGAAAAAGGCCAATCTAGCAACCCTACCTGAGAATATAATTGTTTAAAAACTGACATGTCAGTTTTCTAATTTGTATGCTAAGTAAGTGATAACATTTCAACTGAATATTAGCTCGTGGATGACTTGGCAAATACATTTTAAAACTTTCACTGTTTCTACGGAAAGCGACATAGATACTTGGATTTCAGTTTCCCAATCAAGTTGCCTCCCATTCTGTCTCTCTCCGGCGATTGTTTTCAAGTCGCCAAACCAACACTTTTGCTTTCTACCTTGCTTGTTATTATCGTGATTGGCTCAAAAGATTGAATATATTCTTAGCAAACAGACAAATTACATTAGAAGTTGGGCATTATTGTTTTTTAAGCCCCTTACAAGTCTTGTGTTTCCTTGCAATCATAAGTACATTAAAAGGTTCGTTTCAGTTTCCAAATGCGCCATGGCCCAGTGAAGCCTTCGATGGAACGTATTCAAAATAGCAGGCGAAAACATTGATAAGCAGACCCAGACCGTCAGTACGCCATCTGAAAAAAGGGCTGTCAAAAAATTGTGTACTTGCACTTCGAGCATGAGTTTGGGCAATGTCTTATTAGTATTGCAATTTCTTGTGGCAAGAGGCTGGGAAAAATGTTTTTGGAATAAAAGCCTGCTACGATCCCATATAACAGATCTTGATAGACAATGTTTGTATGCAATGAAAAATATGCTCTTTACTAGGTTTAGCACATCAACAATTCTTATGTGTTGATAACTACGGGGTCATCTGTGGAAACAGATTTCAAGGCCTCCTAAAGTTGATCTCGAAACATTTTTTTACTTCCAGCTTATGTAGGCTCGGAAAATCTCGTAGAAACAAACAATATTGGCAAAATAATGAACTGGAAGTTAAAACTGATTTGCAGTTAACTGACACTGTGGATTATCAAAGCATTTCCTAGGGACTGATTTGACCAATTGCAGGGTATTTTTAATACCATCAATGAAAGAACACAAAAATTGTGCTTTTAGAACCTTATTGGTGCATCATACAGCTGTAATAAATTGATTGCCACACCCCTGAATGCTTAATGAGAAAGACATCTGCTCCTTGCTTGTATTTGAAATGGCGGCTGTGATTGCCTTGCCAACGCCCTTTCAAATGGTCCATTTAGACTTTTATTTATTGCGCTTCTCTATAAACTGTCGATTGGCTAAAGAATCTTCAGACAGTCATTTTCACATCTCAGAAGGACAGAAAACATCGTTCAGTATGTTACTTGCAATGAAAATGTTGTCTGTATTATTGCTTCTTGGAGCAACAGAGGTACAAAAGACTTTGGCTGATTTTACCTTTGACCACAGCAACTGCATGGAAATGAAGCCACAAATTTCGCAAAGCGCATCTTCTCGCGGCACTTCATTTGTGCTTGCGTATGCCAAGATTTACTCTGTTTACATCTCAAGTTCAAGCTTCAAGGCAGGCAGTCCAGTACGAGTTGTTGTAAAATCGTGTAAAGCAGTAGACGGAATCATTCGTGGGATGAAAGCATTTCTCTTGCAAGCCCGGAGTTTGGATAGCAAGTTTTTGCCTTTGGGGCACTTCAACACAACATCATTGCAGCCAGATGCTCAAGCCATTTCGTGTTTTTATCCATACGTAAGTATTTACAAGGAGGGTGAAATCATTCGTCAAATTTTTTATCATAAGATCAATACATCTTAATGTAATAATAAAGTAGATTATGACATATGAAATAGCCCTGCTTGATTTCTGTCTCTTGATATCTTTGCACTAATGTCACTCTGCTAAATAATTGACAAAACGTCTTTAAAAATTGTTCCGCTGAAAGTTTTTACCCAGAGCGCTCACAAGAAATTGATCTTCACGTTCTTGCCGTTCCTTATTTTCCCAATGCTTTGCCCTCTAGGACAGCGTCGTGAATAAATTCAGCAAGAACGTCAAGGAGCTTTCAGCGTCTTGGATTCCACCGAGGAACTTCCGTGGCTCTGTTGCCTTTTATTTAACAGTTATCCCACATGGAACGCATTCGTATTATCTGCGAGTCAGGTCTCCTCCTCTGCGACCGGTGAGTCTCATTTCAGCTTCATTTCTAAACGTAATTAAATGTACATACCTTCAGTGTTAATGTTGTTCATTTTTGGTGATTTCGTAACCCAACCACCCTCCAGAGACTCTTCGATTCACACTTTTGATAGTAGTATAGCTATTCCAATGTACCAATAAAAAATCTATACTGACATGAATTCTATCCTGATTCGTCAACCAGAACCCTTTCTTTGTCCCTTTTGTTACGATGTTACGAAAACCGTTCAAAATGTTCCCTGATAGATATACATTTTTTTAAAAGTAGATATAAACCCCCCTTCGCACGGACAAATGACGTAAACTTCATGCAGAAGTAAGATTCGTGTGTCTATTGTCAATATCGTGTGATGCTACAACATAATAACAAAGTGAAGATCTTTCAAATCGCTATAAAACAGCCAGGAAGTCTGGGAAATTCTTCCATGAATTCTCAGTGAGTCTTTTATCAATCGAATGTTATTATAATCGTTGGTAAAGCATGAAAACTAGCTTTTTGAATTTCTACATTTTCCAGTGATATACCAGCTGGTTTCACCTGGTCTGGTTCTGATCCATCTTGCAATTCGATTGATAATCATCAATTAAAAACAATGAATAATTGAAAACGATTAATAACCAATTAATATTGACTAATTAATAATTAATTTCTTACACTTATTTTTACGAAAATTTCCATGGCAGGGAAATGGCACTTCAATTGCTCTGTACGAAAAATGTGCTAGCAAGGCAACTTATATCGGAGCAACAAATGCTTTAGTAATACTTGCTGCCAGCATCTTGCAGACAGTGGTGATGACAAAGCTATAGTAAAGAACCTCAAGTGGACATTTTTGTTCGAGGGAGAGCCGGGCTTCAGCTTTAATAGATTTCAAATTTCAGGCCAAGTCGTATTCCGATATCAGTTTATCTTTTGAATTTTATTTAGCTGGCGAGTTTATTGAAGACGTTTTTAAGACAACTGCTTACTTCAGAGATTCAAATTTTAAGCTAGACTTAGGATAAAAGAAGGATAAAAGCTTTAACATAAGTATTGCTGTTTTCAATGCTTGTCCTGCTTAAAAGGACCTTGAAATGCAACATACCTTCCCGATTTCTTTGGCCTAATTGGTTTCTGAATGGTTTTATCGATTGTAAAAGTGATCTATCAGTATTTTTATGATTATACTTTATATTATTCTGTATGTTAAGCAGAAACATCTATTCTTTTATTCAATGGTATTAGCCTCAGAAGTAGCTTAGCTCGCAGGCTCGCTAGTTAGGTCTTCCGATGATACAACATTCTAGAACGTTTTCTAGACTGTGGAACGTTACCTTATATATTGTTTAAACAACGTATTCACAATATCAGACCTGGAGATCATAGCCTCTATATGCCCATGTGAAGAATGTGGCTTCATGATATTCATTTTCTAGTCAGCAAATAGCTCATGGTGTATCACCTTTTGTAAGATTGCACATTTTTGTGCTTTGGTTTATTTAATTAACTGAAGGCTTTATCTGTGCGAATGGACACCGATAATGTATTCTATACAGTTATGCAGCATACAAATAAAGATCTTTATACATATCGATTGTGTGAGATATTCGTATTGTAACTTTGGGTCAACTTTTTAAAAAATAGTGATGCATATTTTGGGATTATAGTAAATTAAGCAAAAGGAAACATTCTTCTTGGCTTCTTCTGACTAATTGTGGAGCAATACATCAATGCTAGGTACTTTTGGCATGCGCGTTTTATTTTCCATAAACTCTTGGGCTTGTTATTCTCAGAAAAATAGATTTTAACATTATGGTTACGCGTCATAATGATGATAAGAATACTTGGCCGATCTTCTGATTTTAGCTCCCCCATTAGAGAGGAAATCAATTGATCAATAATAAATATGAAAATTAAAATGACCACGATAATTAATAATGGTGTAGACACTTTAATGCCAATCAACTTTTTACATTACTTGATCACTAAAACATATTTTTTTAGCCATAAGAATGGTTATGTAGATGAAACTCTGCCTCAAAGAAAACTGTCTAATAACATTCCATTTCCTCGTTAAAATTTGCTTTAAATGTATGGTTATTTTGTCAGAATTGACTACATTTTATCTCACAAGTATAGAATGTGCACGAAATATACAAGGTATACATCTAAAGTTTCCATGCAAGAATGTTCCAAGTTAGACTTGCGATTGCCAGGATTTTGGGCCAAATCTTTGTCAATATTAGGTTTTACTATACTTTAGTTAGAGCATTTAATGGAAGTTACGCAACACACGTTCTCGATAATTTGATTACAAGATAATAAGAAAGAATCACAAGTTACAATCTTTATTAAAAGGATTTTTTAGTTGCAGATCCATTATGAAATCTACTGTCTGTTCTGCTACCAGTGCATATTGTGCAGACTGCGAATTCCTTTTGGATTGGAGGGGGGGGGGGGGGGGGGGGAGCGAGAGGAAGAAAAAAGAAATAGGCTAGGAAGCCTGTCTTAGTCAAACAATTAAGACGGTTAGAAAAACTATTATCGCGTTCATGGCCTTCCATGTGAATTTATGCAACGTTGAAGATTGGAGATGGTTTGAGTCTTCTCTCGGGCAAATCACCAGTACTAATAGAAATTTCCTGTAATTTTAACAAGTGTACAAAAACTTGGAAAACCCACTTATAATAAAAGGCAATTTTCCTTTTGGTAGCGGCTTCCATATAGAGGAGTCATCTTCCACAAATGGATGTCAATTCAAAAACGTTTTAGTTCAGCTATCAAACTTTTTCGAGGAAGGAGGGGGGGGGTGAGGGGGTAATTGGCAATATCAAACATTATAAGGACCCTAGAAAAGACTATTTTGTTGATGCAAGCATCATAGCCACATTGGCCATGGTACATTTTTGTTGCAAAATGTGTGTTTATTCACACTGATAATACAGAAAATTTGGTACCTTGCTATTTTGAAAATTAGACAGTAAACATCCCATCTTCGCTGTATTTTTTATTGCGCTTAGAGAAACTACCTGGACCAGTGGCGTACCCAGGGCTGCAGCAGTGGGGGTTCTGGGGCTCAGCCCCCAGAAAATGTTTTGGACCACGCCCTTCAGACACTCGCAAATGAGGGGAAACGCCAAATTTCCCCCCATTATTTGATTCATGTTAGCTACGGTAAATAGCAAAGTATTTTACAATTGTTATTGACACAAGAATACCGTATACTACACCCCCCCCCCCCCCAATGAGTTTTACATCGTTTTTGGACAAATCTCGAGGATCATATTTTAGAAAAGTGGAGGGGGGTCCGGACCCCCTTTTCCTCCCCCTTGGGTACGCCACTAACGTGGACCCTTCTGATTGGCTAATTGGGGTATCACTATACTACGTGATTTTAAGTAGAATGCATTACTTGCCACCTGTCGATGAATCATTTCCCCTTAAATCGTTTGGATAGCATTTCAGAACGCGCGAGGCATATCGTCTTAGCTCTCTGTTCATGGAAAGGAATAAAGTTGCGTTTAGAGACGAATTTATGCAAACAAAAAGCCTAGAAAAGAAGTGGAATAGTAAAACCTTGTCATTGATTTTTTCATTGTCCCGATACAAGTAAATCACAGTCCATGAAACGACAAACGGGGTGTAGGTTAGAATCAACGACGTCAAGACAATAACCATCACCTTTAGAAACTCTTGCGACGCATTCCGTTTGCGACGCGGAACGAGTGCGCCAGCGTTCCCGGCTGGGTTATTGTTTGCTTCCGAGTTCGCGGTTACAGGCAGACTTCGCTCAAGGTTCAGTTGCCTTGTTCTTCTGTTCAATGATCTGTATGCATTGCAATAGACAAAGCTAGCTGAAATCATTAGCCCGATTGCAATGCAATTCAAAATAACATGTGAGAACACGTAGCTGTTTTCGAAGTGCCCCAGGATTTGTACACCAACTATAACGACGGAGACGAAGACGTTGAACAGCACCATAGTTATGGCTCTCTGGCTGTTCATCCAATCAGAGTAGCGGTTCAGAAATCGCATGTGTATGAATCGATCCACTGCAATCAGTGTGATCATGACGGCAGAAAAGCCACAAAGCGAGTCGCATGCGATGTATGTATATGTGATCAGTGCACAGGAATGCTTGTTGGTTACGTGAATTATGATCCTTGTCAGCAGCATCGTTATTCCAACTAGCACGTCACATGAACTTTGAATGAAAATAAAGCGAAATGAGATTGTTTGCAGCTTTCCCAATTTCCAAAGGACAAATGTCAGCAGCGAGTTCAAAATTACATTTATCAATGCAATGAGCCCGTTTGGAATAGAAAAAAGTTCGTACAATCGAAGTGCCTTGTCACTACAAAAAGCTGATGCGTCCTTCCCTGCCATTTTTTTACAGGAGCTTTGAATGCAGAATGCCTGACAAATTTTCCGTTTTTTGTATACAGCTAGGGTTAAACTTGCATGCAACTGTTTGCACCTTTTGGCGATTGCAACGCTTCAATCAAATACTTGACACTCTGTTTGATTCTAAATTGGTACCTAGAAGAAAATGCGGATAATTTAAAAGCAAAAAAGATAAAACTAAAATTTTCAGAGTTTAATAATGCTATTTGATGTGTTGCTCTCCTCGATCTTAGGCCTTAGGTATAAATATATTGCCTGAAGAACTGATGGCTGTAGATGAAGAGAAGCAGAAAATTACGTCAGTTTAACATTGCTGCTCTGAGTAGTCATGTACTTTGAAAATATAGTTCAAAACAAATGAGGCGAACGTAAAATCCGAAGAAAGAAAATACAGTGTTTTGCTTGTTCAGTTGTTAGGATCACGGGCTTCAGACCTAAGGGCCTGAAGTTAGAGTCCCTACCATGACTAAATATTCGTTTGGAGCGCTTGGAGCTAGTAAGATCACCGCCTCCTTGTAACTTTTGGCCTAGGAATCACAAGTTGTTGTTACGTTAAAAGGAGTGCTTCTCGATGTCTTGAAAATTGCCTTCAGATGGTAGGTAAAACGAATACAAATTAAACACCGATAGCATGCCTTTTATTGTTGTTAAACATGACAACACCTTTTAGTTTAAACCTTAGTTGGTATATGGAGCAGCGAAATAAAGATCTCTATTTGGTGCATTCTCACGTGCTTCATGCGAGGACCTAATGACTCTACATGTTGGTGACAGGGCTGGTATGAATTAAATAGGAATCTCAAGAACATAATCTTTAGCGGAGAGTTTCTTACGAAATCTAATCAAAGTTATAGTTTTCAGGGTCAACATGTCCTACTTCCTACCGAGAATTGTTTGCAAATCTGTGATCTGATTTTTAAAAAGAACTATTACTCTCCTCTTACACGACCTCACATGAGACAATCTTTCTTGTGCTTATGGTCAGTGCCGGATTTTCGAAAAACCGTGTGCTTGTGCTAGTCATGATCGAGGCACTTTAATTGGGTTTTAAAGCAGTGGCGAATCTAGCCCTAAAAATCTAGCCGGGCGGGGGGCCAGCTTTCAGTTAAAGGGGCCAACACTAGGCTAGCTATTACTTTGCGGACTAATATAATGTAAAGCAGTGGCGTGGTGGCTCAAAGTTGACAACAGGACACCAATTTTGGCGCCCTCTAGAGAAGTTTGGCCTTGGTACAACTCTAAAAGGGCTGAAGAAACTTTTATGTTAAGGTCGATCAAGTGATTTGTAGAGGCCGCTAACTATATCAACAAGTTTTTTGGCGAATGCAGTCCTCTCCATTTGATGTTGCTTTGTTGTTTTCTTTCTTAGAGAAATTTTACTTAAGTAAACTTATTGAAACATTACCCTAGTAAGCTAATTAGAATTGCCTTGAGTAATGTCTCAACATGTAATGTCAATAATTCTGTTAATTCCCGTTTTAGGCTGTGTTCGTGTCAAGTTACCTAAGACCCTTTTTATGCATTTAACATCAAATTGAAAAATTAAATATACTTTCTTTACTAGGCACATTGCCCAGCATGCCCTGCGGTTAATGCAGCACTGTAAAAATATTCAGTTACAAACATCGATTTCTTCAAGAAAGCTCGAAAAAAGTAAAAAGTAGAAAATTTACCAGTTTTTTCCACCGTTTAGAGATATTTTCATAAGAAGCCCCTAGTTCAACACACTTTGAATTAGCCCCCAACCGAGAATCTCTTTAATTACCAAGGTGGCAGGGCATTTTTTTAACATATTCAGTGGTGGGGGAACTGCCCCACCAGGCTCTCCGACTTCCACCACCATTGACGACGAAAATGCTCCTTTTACCCGAAATGCCTGGGCCATTGTAGGGTCCTTTCAGAACATGGGTGCAGTATAAAACGACTGACGTTTTACCAGTAGAAACCAGATAAAAGAGGACAAATTGATTTTCTTGTAGTATTAATTATCTTTATCGACACATCCGTAAGAAGGGAATGGTCGCAAAAAGTTTTTTTTGCCACAGAACCTCCAAATCCTCGCGGCGAAACTGTTCAGGATCAAACCGATAATCAACTGAGATATCATTGTAGCCAGGCTTTCAGAAAGAGCCATTTTATCCATCTGGAATCTTTATTAGAAATTTCTCATAGACATGATCCAGATACTCCACTGAAAATTTTTAATAGAATCTTCTTTTTAGTTTGGTCCTTGATCTTAAACATTTCATAAACAAAGGTTCCAATTTGGTTTATTAACAATCTGTTCTGTAAAAACTTTTAAAGAGACTTCGTTTTAGAGTCTTATAGTAATTCTTGAAACATCTTGAAACAGGGGCATTGTGGTTCCTAAATCATCATAAGGAGGCCCGCTCTTTTGTTTGACATCTCCTATCACAAACCAAGTGGCACCTACCTTGAAACCATGCACCAAAATTACAAAGATGCCAGTTTTTATCATTTTTATGGATTCATCTGCTATATTTGTTAGGGTTTATCCCCCTTTCTCTAACTATAATCTCTTTAAGATTGCAAAAATGTGAAACAAACCCAACGCTGTAGCGCACACTTGATACAAACACAAATGCAACGAAGGACTACATGCACTACAAGTGAAGCGAGCAGAAAATTTTTGCGGTCACGCCCTTTAAATTTTACAATTTTGTAGGCATACTTTCTTGCCCTTTGTAGACATACTTTGTTGCCTTTTGTAGGCATTCTTTGTTGCTTTCAGTTCTCGAGGCCCTTGGGCAGTTTGCCCGTCCTTGACCCCCCCCCCTCGGCGCCCCTGTTCATATTCAACTCATCTCTTTCACAGGGACCTGTTTGTACATGTTGACCTCCTCTAATTCTGAACGGTGAACTTGAGTCTATATGTAAGTGAGACATTTTCTTACCAAGGATTTTGTTCATATAAAATATCTTCCTGGGTCTCACATACTCATTTGAAAGGGGCCCACAGAGAAACTTCTCTGTGTCCCGCCTAGCCACCACGCCTCTGTCTTGAAACCTTCAATCCAAAATTTAGGATTTTATAAAATAAATCGGCATCAAAACAGCGTGATAATTATGTCATGATTGAATGTTTTCCTAAATGTGATAAAATGCAACACCAAGATTACAATTCCTCATTCCAAGCTAAATTGTTAACTTCCCTCAGCTAATGGTCTTGGTAAGAGCAAATCTTAACCAAATTAGGGGGTCTTTGGGGCTGACGGTATTGCGGTATTTGCCTTTTTATCTGTCGGTAATTCGGTAATCTTCCTCAAATTCGGTAATCTATTTCAGTCATTGAAAAATCAGTCGTGAGCAGTTTTTAGTGAATTCAATGCCCAGTGTGCGGTAATGGCCAGTTCTGAATTAATCAAACACTTTGGCAGTTTAATCAGAAGGGTGAAATGCTAGTGGTGGAATCTTGTTGTATCCATGTTAAAAATTTCATAATTTTTTGCCGATAATTCCTAGATTTGTTTATTTTTCCCGCTATAAATGGTGCTACCCCTGGCTGAAAAATTTTCAAATTGCAACTGCAAATGTGCATGATTTACTTTCGAATTATTTATAATTACTTTTTTCTCTTCTTTTTGCACACAATCTAGAATGGCTAACATATAACCAGATTCTCTTGAGCCAGCTATAACGACCAATGTCATATGTTTCGATCGTTTTGCCCATATGTCTTATGTAACATGTTATTATAAAAAGTAAACCCGACTTGAGGTGGGGACACTAAGAAAAGGTCTGTAACTTAATTTGAAATATCTACTGTGTAAGAATAAGTCACATTTTTGCATTTTTGATTTCGAAAAGAGAAGAATACAATATCAAAATACATTCGTGTTGAGCTTTTGTAACAAAGAAAGGTTGTGGTATCTTTCTTGTTTATGTATATGTAGGCCATCAACATAGCAGAACAGCACCTTTTGATTTTCAGCTATTGGGCATTAAAAGCGCTCCAACTGTCTAAAGAAGGAACTAAAAAATCTATTTCTAGTTTAAAAGTGGAAGTACATTTAGGCTGTTTCAGTTCCTTTTATAGTTCTTGGAGTCCAATGTTTGCTTCTAAAAATGGTGTTCTGTCACGAATGGAAGAATTACATTTTGGTGTTTCACAAGGATCTTTTCTTGGAACTCTTATACTAATAATTTGTATCGACGAGTTTCCGTTTGGTCTACAAGCTGCCAGGTAAACAGGATCTCTTCTTCTACAAGGAGTAACAACGACTTCACCAGGAAGCTAAGAAAGCGCATTTTTCTTTGAGAAAAATCTTCAACATTTCTTCAGTCCAGTCTCAATAAAAACCACCCACTTATTTCTGGGCATATCTATGTGGTCCCTTTTCTTTAGCTAGATCACATTGCCTTTATTAACTTGCAAAATTATGTAGGGATAAAGTTTTTATAAAATATTATTTCCATTAATCTTCACAATAATTTTGGATTCGATTTAGGGCTTTCAGAATTGTAAAGCATTTTAAGGTAACTGCTTTAAGCATGGAATTTGGTTACCACTTTCAGAAACACATTTAAATTTCCCCTACATTTGTTTTCAAAACTTATATTCACCCCAAAGCTGATTTATCAGTAATATTGAATTTTCACTAAACATTTTGGCCGCTTAAGTAACAATGGTTTTTGAAGCTTTAACGGCAGGAATTGATATAAAATACATCAGAAAGGTGGACTCGCGTTATTAAAGATTATACTCAATTTAATAGCCTCCCATTCTTGATTAATTCAACCGAGAAAGAGGCTGTTGTAAAATATATCAAAGAATTCTACTGAGAATCCTTGCCAGCTTTGTGAAAACGGAAATTAGGCAGAGGATGGCTGAAACTGACGCAAAGAATGGCACAAGAACCAGTGACCAGGTAACATTTTAAGAAGTCTATTATAGGTGCAATACACCGGAGATATCTGATATCACCGATCAGGCCCATCAAGCACCTAGCCTATCTTAGGCTATACAACACCTCTCTCAGATATTAAATGTCCCCTTCATATTATTCTACAAATTTTTCAATTTTTGTTCAATTTTTGTAATTTTTTAATTTTTTATTATTATTTTTAATTATTTTTATTCTTTTTTTTAATTTTTTAATTCAATTTTTTTCTGATGCTCTTCAGAATACCTGTTTGTTAATATACATCAACATTAATTAGATAAGATAGATAGAAACTGATTCTTTCCCCAGTAAGCATGAATCCCTCAGAGCTGCTAAGATTCCTACTTAAATATTATTGAGAAAGAATGGCAAAATCTGATCCTCTGACCTCTTTCAATGATATTAGCTTTAACTAGAGCAAGCAAAGTCCTGTGATATGCATTTAAAAGTGGATTAATATATGTATGTTTCCATATGTAGACAAATGTTAACAAAAACAGCTGACCAGTTGTAAATTTGCTTCAAAATTTGATTAGGGATCTTTTCGTGGTTTTGAACTTGAATGATGTAGGGTGATGCAGGGTACAAGTACTCTTATAGATGTTGTCTTGACCAATGATGCCTTGAAAGTGATTGCCTGTGGTTGGGTTGTAACCTTGAGAAAGCAATGAGAGAAAGGGATTTCCTTTTATTAAAAGCTAAGAAATCTGGCATTGAAAAGGATTGGTCAGCATATAAAAGGAAATGCAGTTTAGTGACAAAGATGCAGAGGCAAAACATCATCAAATACCAGTGGCAGCTGGCACGAAAATAAGATGGTACTAGAAAAGCAAAAAAATTTAGCAGAGCAAACCAGCTAGAGGAAGAGTGGCGCAGGGGCGTTGTCCCTGGAAAATATTTGTTTTTATAGCTAATATTATGGCCAAATTACCTTTCTAAAGCGGGCGAGAAATTTTCATGCAATACCTTGGTTTGTTTGATGTCATGTGATATTGGCATCTGCAGGGGTTACATGGCCTCGCAGCATTTTATCACTAGAAAGAGGAATCTAGTACTGCGAACAATGTCTTCATTGTTTGATTGTTGAAAGACAAACGGTTCTACCTCAGGTTGAGTCAGAAATAACAATGGGACAGACGTCTGCAGTACTGGATGAATGAAGTCTAGAACCGTGGTGTACAAAAAGGGCTTATTCAATGCCAATATTTCAATGAGAATTAAGAGACCAGTAACAAGCGGAACAACCCAGTAACAACCCAGTAACAAGCGGAACAACCAAGGAACAAGCAGAACAACCCAGAAACAAGCGGAAATGTGAATTAATTGTTTAGTAAATAGGACTAGAACTATCAAGAGGCCGTCAATCATGTCTTCGTCTGTTTCGGAGGCTTTGTGATTTTGCCAACCGACAGAGAGAATCTATTGACCCCAGATCGGGACGAAAAATAAATAGCTGATCTGGTGCCACTAGAACCGCTGCAAGCTGCCACTGTCAAATACAATCAAAAGCTACCCAATGAACAGGCAAATAATCCAAAAAAGTTGTGGAAACAAGTTAAAAAAATGTTTTCCAGCTAGGAAAAGTGATTGTAGTCAGCCTTCCAGTGTTTTCACCAAAAATGGGCTCTAAATCACTGAAAAGAAACAAATCGCTGAATGTTTCTGTTCATTCTTCATAAACACAGTTCAAGCAGAAAATAAACCCCCAGAATTTGTCTTTCTATTTCATTCAAGTTTCCCCACGGTATGTCATTTTCATTTCAGGTACTGCAGTCTGTTGTAAAGCTATTTGTTCAATATGCAAGTCCAAATTATTGTATGCCTTGGCAAATGAAAAGACAACAACAGAGTTTTGGATCAGGGTTTGTCATCAAGGGAAGGAGGATCCTAACAAATGCACATGTTGTTAAATACCACAAATCTGTGAGTAAAATCTTCTTTATTCTCCCCTTTACATTTGTTGTTATTTTTGTTTATTGCAATTTGGCATTACCAAAACTGCACCTCAAGAGCAATAAGCTGTACCTGAAGAGCAACAAGAAACAAATCATAATGCTTCCTGAAGATTGGTATTTTGTACAGCAAGAACAATTTGGTATATAGAAGGGAGCGGAGATTTTGCTGTTCTGCCAGCTATCTTTCCTTTTGTTGGGCCTTTAAAGGCATTTGACATGCATAAGTAAAAAAATAACCTAGGCCAAATTGATCAGAGCAAGAAAGGAATTGGAAACTGCTCACATGAAACCACAGCATGCTGCTCTAGGATTTCACCAATTTGCAGAAAGGCGGAAACTGTTCACACGTTTTTCTCTGTGTGGAATTAGATTGGTCAAAGGCTAGTAGTCCAGTGTCTGTAAGCCACTTTTACCTGTGTCAAATGCCTTAAAGTATTGCATTATCCTTTGCAGAGGTGAATAAGGTAATACGCCTGTAATAATGTAAGTGCCTCTTGCCGGAAAAGTTTTAAATGCTAAAGGAGCTTGGCTGGCAGGAATAAAACATTAGATTTAGTTATAAAGGAGGTATAATAGAAATTGTTAACAATTTATTGTGTTTGTCACATATGGAAAAGCATTGAATGATTCAGGCTAACCCTGATAGGGGACTTCCTGAAGTTATCTTTTGTTTATTGTTTGTCAAGTTGGCTTTTTGTCCCAAAAATTGTAATCAATGTGGACAAAAAGGCAGATTACCACTTCTGCAATAAGCGGCTTGTCTCACAAAACGTAAGTAATTATAAAAAAATAGGTTTGCTACACATATATGTTACTGAATAAGTGGATAAAAACCCAAGAAGTTTGCAAAACTAGGAAAGTATATGCTGCTCGACACTGCAACAATTGCTGCTGGAGCATTCAATGGTCCTAAGCCAGACCAAACATACTCACTGTTTTGGCAGTGTCATAGGAAAGCACTAAGTATGGCACACCATTGTTGTGAAAAGTGAAAGTCTGTATGGTTTAGAGGAAACCCTTCAAACTTTTGTTACAAAGTACCTTTTTCAGGATTTTTTTTTAACCAATTAATCAAATGATAGATAGATTCTATGCCTGTCTACTCAACTGCAAACTTTTAGATTTAGATTAAAAACAGGTGTTACAGTTTTTTGAACATGTTCCAGAATAATAAAAAGCAATGTGGAGCTGACATCAAAGTTTCAATCAGAGCAAAAGCAAATTTGAATTTTTTTGAGAAGAGACAATCATGAAACTAACATTGCCTTCCCAAGGATACAGCATTTTAAAAACTTTGGAATTGCGAAAAATTGTTGCTACTTGTATTATCATCACTCAGGAAAATGTTGGTCCTTGGTTTCTGTGGTTTTAAGAAACTACCATAACTTAGCTTCAGCTTTTTATCATAATATGAACTTTTAGCTGATTGGAAACTCCAAGCAACCGTGAGTCATTTAAACAGTTTTTCGATCTCTCAAAATTCATGAATATTTTCCTACAAATTTCTCAGATGTCAGACGTCAGATGGTTATTTAGAAGACAACAGATTTTCTCATCAGCAATATCAAAGATCTTATCATAATTATAATGGTGTCATGTTTAATACAATATAGTCATGGTAATCTTATGATGAAGTCATCCCACAATCCATTATGAGCAAGATCCCAGAACCCCTCCCGTATTCTTTGTCAAGAAAGAAATTGTACGTTTAGCTCAAAATTCACAAAAAATTTTATGATCTGTTGGGATAAGAGTAGATTCAGAGTTTTTCTCTTTCAGAAATAACTTTTTAAAATGATACAAGTATTTAAAAATTGCAACATGAAGCTAATCCTGGCAGAAAATTTCTGTTAAGCTACACAGAAAGTCAGTAAAAATGGAAGTCAGAGGTTTTTCCTAATATTTCCTGGTGCTATTTTCCTGGTTTAAATGAAGTTTTAAGCAAATTCCAAAATGACCAAATATTATGCAACTTTTAGTAAATCTTTATTCCATATAAAATTATGCTTGAGCGTTGTGTTGTAGATAAGAGTGAGGAAACACGGAGATGCGAAGAAATACCAAGCCTACATTGTTCATATTGCCCATGACTGTGACGTTGCAATGGTAAGAGCATCTCCTGCTTTCTTGGTAATTCATCAATTTGCTTAAAAACGAGCCTTTTAAAGATTTAACATTTACAACTCTAAATATTGCTTAAAATCAGGGGCGGATCCAGACATTCGCAACATTCGCACTGGCGAATGTCAGATTTCCACATGTCTTTTTGTAATTGTCTGTTAATACATTTTAGCATTGTGAATATTGTACTAGAAATGGCCAGATAATAAAAAAAAGGTCCACAGAATACAAGAAATAAAAGTTTTGTTTCCTGCCCTAGTTGCTATGATGTCACCTTGTTGTTTACTTTTTAGGTTTTATTCCCTCGTTTTCGTGATTTAGAGATGATATATTCGAAAGAGGGCTCCCCCTTTTACGCATAAATTCACAGAGCAGCAATAAGGTTTGATGCGAATGTCGAATGGAATTATAATATATTAGGCATGCGTGCGCAAATGAAGTAGTACTGAAAAATGTATGCCAAAAATTTGTGCGAATGTCAGTCAAGCTATGTTATTTAGCCATCTGAAAACCAATAGGAAATGTATATGGGAAATTTTTTTGCGAATGTGGCGAAGGTAGATGCGAACTATGTTCGGTAGCCAGTTGAGGGAGAGAACCTTGGAAAGTGAGTAGATAGAAACCTCGCTTCCAGATCAACGGCCATGATTGTTGTTGGAAAGCTGTGGAGACATTTGCTTGCAGATAAGCAGCAATTGTACTTCAGAGTGAGTGAAAGGAGTCAAATATAAGATGATTTTTAATTTGAATCAGCGGATTTCTTATGAAGATGTTCAAAGTTTGTCGAAGATTTTGGTTGATGGATGGTATTTGATAGATGGCAATATCAATATGCGAGGACAGTTCAGTTGGACCTAAAATTGTTGATCCAAAATTTTGCCTATGTTTTCATTTTTATGATGGAGGACGTTATTTAGACAGAGATTCAGATTCAAATAATATTTTGAAGAATACGTGATGCTTTTTAAGGTAAAAAGCCATTTTTATGCAGGCTGTCAATCAGAACTTTTAGGGTTCAAGTCAGGTATATCTTGATAATGATGATGTAGCATTCTGACGAATGATGCTGTTCTATAAATATCTTGATGAATTTGAATATGCTGAATTTTAGAGTTCTAGATATTTTTTTGATAGATGTTGTTATTATCACAAACCTGTAAATAGTTTGACTGTGCTGGGGATTTGTTTTTGATCTGACGAATGATGCTGTTCTATAAATATCTTGATGAATTTGAATATGCTGAATTTTAGAGTTCTAGATATTTTTTTGATAGATGTTGTTATTATCACAAACCTGTAAATAGTTTGACTGTGCTGGGGATTTGTTTTTTAATAAGATATTGCATTTTCTACGGCGTATTCTTTTCTTGTTAATTTTATGCTGTCAGTTTTGGAAAAATCTAGACTGCCATATTTGTAAATGAGAAATTGTAATAGTATTTTGATTTTATTTGTCTGGTCATGACATAAATATGGTAACCCTTTTCACGAGTTTAACCTCTAAAACTAGTAAAATTATTTGTGGTTTCCACACTATAAGAGTATACTATTTGAAACTTTTGGTTCTGAAATACCCTTAAGATTCATTAATTTTTGTTTATGAAATTTGCAAGTGACTGACAGTTTTCTTTTCTATGTTATTGTGTGTGTAAATAAATGTAAATATGGGTAGTAAATAAGTGCAATCAATGGAATGATCCTAATGGGGGAATTACTACATTATTAATAAGAAATTCACAGCAAGTTGGTTCTGCCAAGTAAATATCTTATATAAATCCAAATAGTAAAAGTTACCATGTTTGCCTTATTTCTTTGCCATTACTGACTTTGTTTGATGTACATTTAAAATTTGTATATAATATATATTTATGATGTTCTTGTTATGGAAAGACAATGAATTGTTTTAAATTCTGTTACATTTGCTGTTTTACCAACACCTGAAAATACTAAAATTGTATGATGTGTATTGACCTAACTGGTATTTTTGGCCATGTTTAAGGCACATCACACAGCAGTTTAGATAGAAAGGTGAATGCACAAAATAAATAACAGAAAAGCTCTGAGCCCCTAAGGTATTTGGTGTTGAAGTCAAACATTTGGGTGGATATTGCATTGAAAATTTCTACACTAAACACAGTATTTGATTGTTAAATAATATCATTGTATAAATAGAACTAAGATTCCTTTCTTTAAATGGCTGTTTTTTATGTGAGTGACATAAAATGTTTTTCATGAGTTTTTCTCCCTGAGAAGGGGTGATACACACATCTAATATACCCTTATTTTAGCATCCTCTTTGTTCTTGACAATTTGTGGTTCTGTGCCTAGACTTGCCATTAAATCATTATTAAGAGGACATTTCAAATCTTTGCTGCTGTTTTTCCATCACAAAAGCCATGTAGGAAACAAAACATGCCAACACAACAAAAACTTGATGAGTGTTTCTCAAAATTTTTCCAGAGATCTCTTTTCTTGTTCACTCAATAAGTAAAATGCCAAATTGTCAATGAAATCCAGACCTGGCTGTTATTCTTAATATTTATCCTTAAATTTCTCAACCTTTGAGCCTCAACATTTTCTGTTTCCTTATCCTAAAACTTAATATAAGGAAAAATACATCCTTAAGTGGAAAACTTTGATTCTGAGACTTTAGTAAAATTCGACTAATTTTTCTTTGGGCGTGGTCATATAGGCGTGGTCGAAACTTTGCGAATGTCAGATTTTTTTCTGCATCCGCCCCTGCTTAAAATGAGCTGCAAATTATTCAAACATTCAGAACTTTTAAGCTTGTGGTACCATTGCAAGTCTAATTCTGAATTTAGCTTAAAAAATTGATCATAAACCTTTTATAAAATTTCATAAATATACTTTTATAAAATTGATGATATATGTATTTATAGTTATTTTCTTTCCTCGAACGATACAAAATCATTCTGGATTACGAGCTCAGTAAGTGCAAGTCAATTGATGTCTCGATTTGCACTTTATTTTGGCAACGAAGAAGCAAAAATTCATTTAGAAACAAAGGGATATTCAAAGAAGTTCTTTGCTTTGAGTTTAGAATTATAAATTTTTTGATGGATGCAACGGTGTTGAATGCTACAGACTTATTCGTAAAGAGCGATAATATTTTTTTCAAGCATTTGATCAGAAGAGCTTGTTAGAATCACATTATGCAGAGTTATAACTGTCTTCGTCAGGTTGGTGTTGACGACGAAAAGTTTTGGGAAGATGTAAAACATTTGGAGTTCGGAAATGTACCAAAATTGGAAGAAGATGTTGCTGTTGTTGGGTTTCCCACTGGCGGGGACAATATCAGTATCACGAGAGGAGTTGTTTCCAGGGTCGACATACGCAGATATTCGCATTCTGGGCAAGATTTACTGGCAATACAGGTGTGGGATTGGCATAAAGTTGTCTTAGTTATTTAATCATTTAACTCTGGGTTTCAATTTATTTAACGACTTAGGGTAATATATTGATAGTAAAAAATACAGTTGTACAAACAAAGCTGCAGTTTTTAGGGGCATATGAAATAAAGAATTTGTGATTTGTGAAATAAAGAAATATTTTAGAAATAAAGAATTTTTGGCCATGTGAAGAATTTCATTTAACTTTTTCAAAAGTAAAGAACTTTTGCCAACTAGGGGCGCTTTGTAGTTGAATTTAGAAGCTTGTCGGCTGATGAAAGATGGCTCAGCCACTTCATCGGCAAATAAGACCTAAACACTCTCTGGAGCGCAATATCTAGCGACTGCCAAGTATTATGTCAATTTTTTCCATGGTTCAGTCGGAGGCGTTGTATTTGATATTCATTTCCATCAATATTGAACTGTTTAAAATTGAATGCTCCTGCACTTTCTTTGATGATATTCAGCGGAGATAAGTTGTTGATCAGTATGACAATGATTTCGTATGATTATGTATGCAACGAACAACAAAGAAAACGTGGTTTACAGTTTAAATTCGTTCGGAAAAGCCCATAGGAAATTGCGTATTTTTCAGGTCACGTTGAATTAGCGAAATTAAAGCTTTCAAAGCTGATGATCAGTAATTATTTTTGACTGAAAATTAAGATTTTTCAAATCAAAGCTGCATAACTCGGACAGCATAACAAGGGCAAGAACAAATATTATGATTTCAGCTTAGTGTTGTCTTTTTATGATAAAGCCTTACCCATAGATATGATTTTATAGTTTCTTTAATGACTGCTTCTCTGCAAAAAGAATCTTCATTTTATTGAAATTATTTTTTCATTGTTTAATGAAAGAATTATAGCTTTCATGTGACTCTCCTGTTGCTAACGTCTGGGCAACAGTCACATTGTAAAAGGTTTTTGTCTTAGAAACAATTTTTTGTCAAACGTTTATTTTAGTTTAAAGTTATTTTATTTGACCCTAGCAGCGAGATGCGCGATTTAAAAGCCGTACCGGGTCATATTTTTTAAAAGGTTCTTGTTTATTTAGCCGGATTTACTGAGCTCTCAGCCACGTATTAGGCCTACCGATGTATGTCTTCTACCTCGTTTCTTTGACATGAGCAATTTTTTAATCCTGTCCCGAAACTTCAATGCATATTATCATAGTTTGCTCTAACAAGAACTTTCTTTTGAATGCTAAGGGAATTTCAAAGTAATTTTCATATTTCATGGAAAGTTCTTTAACTATTCAATTGATGTTTATCATGAAGTTACCGCTCTTTTTCTCATGTCATTTTCGATCCCAAAGTAATTATAAATTCCTGTTCAACGCTTCATGCTCTGGAAGGTCGGATGAAAAACACACCAACATAATTCACATTTTTCCTGTATTTGTGCCATTTCACTTGATGACACCAATTGTCTTATTTTATGTTTAATGTTTCCAGATTTGATTGGGTTCGCTTGTCTTATGAATATCTTTTAAGAAGAAATAATATAGAATTGCTTCTCTGAAATGAATCACGCTTCATAATAGTTTAAATAATAGTTTAAAAATTTCATGCTCCTAGATTGATGCTGCTATAAATTCAGGCAACAGTGGTGGTCCTGCATTGCAGCATGGGAGTGTTGTTGGCATCGCATTTCAAGCAATGTGTACGGCTGAAAACATCGGCTACATCATCCCAGTAGGTTGGATTCAAATTTTGTCTTTTTTGTAACCTTCCAATTTTTTGTAAAGCACGGCTCATAATTGGCTTTCATTTAGCACTTTGCTACTTCCAATAGGCTGATTAATAGTCAAAAACTTTGTTTAACCGAAGACTTCAAATGGCGTCCTACGTTATTAAGGAAAGCTGGAGTCGAATTTTTTTTCCCATGCTTTTGTTATTAGTCTTTTAGCTGCTTTTGATGAACCACAGCGAAACAACTTAACGTGTAAATATGGATATTACGTAATGTAAAGTAAAGTATTATGCAAAGTATGAACATAATTTTCTCTTAAGATTTTTAATGGAATTTACTCGCTAATTATCAGCTTTCACCATTGTACAACACGTATTTTATAGCATAAGTGTTTCAGCATCAAAATTTGGTGGAAATAGCACGCAAACATCTTCGCATGTTGACCAAAAAAGCTAAGAACTGAGACACCCCGCATATTTTATCCAACTTTATTTAAGATAAGTAAAATTATCAGACATTTTCCTCGCTGACAAGGACCACTTTTATGTAAATCGTGTCTCTTTGATCTTCTTTCCTTAACACTTCTAGTGTCTCATGTCTGCTCTCGTGTCCGACGTGATTCTTCTCAGAGACGCCCAGTCGGCTGCAGGACATGGAGGCAAAACTCCGCGAAAAGGGGGAAAACAATGGCAAAATAAAGAAAATTGCTTAATTTTTCAAAACAACTTTCCTTGCGCCCGCGTGCTCCGACCCATCTGAATCTTCTTTGTCCCGCACGATTAACTTTGTGTCGCACGTGACTGAAATTCTTTTCACACTTTTGGACATCTAAATAAAAGAGATTGAAAATGTTTTTGGGTCTTTTCGCAGTTGTTCGCGCCTATAAAACCTGCGGTGGGTTTGTTTAGGCTATCACAAACTTTTATGCACATTTTACTCCAAAAAACCAAGCTGAATTCAAATATCACTAATGGTTAGTCATCGCAAATGAAGATCTTTATGTTTCTCTTACAATTTGGTAAAGCTGATATCGCTTCACTTCTTGTTGGCGGCTGAATGACGTCTTCGATTACTTCATATTCTTATTCGATTGTCTATCCTATGTTCTGAGCCTATCAGCTAGGGCTTGAAATGTATCATCAGCATGTTTTGCCGATGACAATAATGATTTTCCCAAAGAAAAAATTATAAATGAACACCGAAAATAGATAAACAAAAAAAACAGATGAAAAATTTATGAAAAGTTCGTTATATCGAGGGTAATTATGATGAAGGGACCAAAAAATTGGCTCGTCATAACGAAAGTTAATTTTATCCGGGGTTCATTATACCAAGAGGATTTGTAAGGAGTTTGCTAGGCAGAGTCCAAAGGAACAAGACATTTAGTTCGTTATACCGGGAAGTTCGCTATATCCGGGGGTTCGTTATATCGGGATTCCACCTTATAAGTCGAAAGCTAAACCTAAGTTTCACGTTTTGCGTGTTTTTGAATATATTGATTTTAGACAATTTAAAGCTTGTTTTCGGGTTTCAGAAAGAAAAAGTGCCCGTGTCGGCGTTCATATAAACGGAATTTGTAATTCACTTCCTGAAGGTGCAGTTTTCTTCCATTTTAGCAAAGTATACCATTCTTCCAATCTATCAACTAATTTTTCATTACACTGATAAAGATTAATTCATTTGAACTGCCTCAGTAAGTTTTGGCTGATGTCAAATTCGCTCAACCAACACTGCACAATTTCTACAAAAAACGAGCCATCTTGTTGCCTTTATTTACACAGTCAACAATGTTAATTAAGTTTTCCTGTTATAAAAAGTTTTCCATTTAAATGCTCGTTCGTAATAAAAAGTTTTGATTCCTATCAATCAATAACCTATTTTTCATCGTCACTGTGTAATTTCTAAAACGTTTCAAAAAACCAGCCGTTATTTGCAATTTGAAGAAAAAATTTTGGAAATCAAGCTTTCCTGTGCAATATTATTTACCATCTCCACAACAATTTGTCTGCAATTGACTGCAAAGAACAAGTATTTCTTAGTACACTTACATATTTTTGTGACGAAGCATTATCTTTTTATCTCGTTTGCGTAAGCGCGCTAGTACCCTTATCTGTAATACCACTTGTTCTTTGAGACGGGATATCTAGAAAGCTACGCGGAATGGCATCTAGATTAGTGTAGCTGTATGTACATATTCTTCGTACATTAAAAGCCGTGACGAGTCATGTTAGTATAATAACATGAAAGTAAGAACATTATGAACAGTTTCTCGAATTAGGAACAGTTTCTCGTGCTTAAAAATGCAATAAAATCGAAAAATTAAAATAGTTTAATCTCAATGCATCGGGCTGATGCTTGCCTGTTATTGATCAAATATGTGTACCTTTGAGTTGATTTGATCAAGTCTTAACTGAATCAGTCTTCCTGATGCAACCTTGAATGACTTTTCCAAAACAAATGCAGCCGTGACTGATTCCCCAACGGCTATTCACTGCCTTCTTACGTCTTCATCAAAAGATGGGAGGGACTTAATTTTTGCTTCTGATTTTTTCAGCCATTAGCCCCAAACATATGTTTAGTATAACAGTATGTCTTTGTTGACAACCGAGATTCTTTTGCTGCTGTTTGTTCATCGTCAAATGGATCTTCCAGTGTACAATGAATAATTTAACATTAACTGAGGTATTTCGCAAAACCTTTTTGTTGCTGTGCAGTAGCTTGAGTCATATCCTAGCTTTGCATGAAAATAAGATGGCCACTGAAGTGAAACTTCTTAATTAATGAAAGATGGTAAGTAAAGATTTTTTGTAATTTAAGTATTTGAAAAAGAGAAAGGTTTTGGCCAAATTTATTCTACACGTGAGTGCAGAACACATGAATTTTAGCCATCTTCTAGAATGCCACAAAAGTTATGGTACCTACCTTAGATTAGGCGTGTTGATTCTTGAATACCTCACTCCAGATAGCAAAAGATGAACAGATAAAAGAATTTTGCAGGCCACTTAAATCCAACTGCAAAAACAATTCTTGTTCTTTTGTAAGGGCTTTACACTTACTCACAAGTATCCGGATATAGCTGGATCGTCCGCCTGACCCCATCCAATAAGTAAGACTTACCTGGTTTGTTGAAAGATGCTTGATATATATAGACATCTGCGATCCGAAGTCAAACAATGACAACTGATGGATGCTGATGATGTAATATGCAACTGTAACACCTGCTGCAGCTTGTTTGAAATGAAGAAGACATCGCATATTCATATGAAGAGTCTCATATATTCAACGTATTCTTGGGTGACAACGTATTTTTAAAGTATTCTTGGATGATACTGTAAGAATCTGGATGAGTACTACGATGCTTATGATTTAGAAAACATTTTAGGTTTGCTGTTAATCAAGGGCTGGGCTTTTTCAAAAAAGAGGATTATTGTTTAATTTTCATTTCAAATCAATAAATTCTGTTCTGTGTAACTTCAGTTTTTTGTTCAGATTTTATCAAGGCCAAAGCTTATGTTGTGATATACTCTCGCGTATACTTTAATTTGATTTTATTCATAAATTTGCTTGTGTGAACTAGAATCCAATAACAACATGCTTTCAATGAATTCGAAAATAGCAAACATTCTGTAGCGAACATATAATAAATATTGACATTATAGAATTGACGTGGTTTTTATTCGTCTTTATTGCTAAATATGTTTAGGCTCAGAGCGAAAAATGTAATTTTCCCGAAAAGTTTCTGCCTTGCATACAAAAACTGAGCCGTTTTTTAGCCCTTGATGTCACAAAATGATTAAATGTATACAGCTTCTATGCAAAGCCATGTCGAAGGCTGTCCCTGAAGGTTGTCACTGGAGGCTGTCCCTGAAGGTTGTCACTGGAGGCTGTCTCTGAAGGTTGTCGCCAAAAATTGTTGTCACCGAAGGGTGTCATTGAAGGTTTTTGCTGAAAGCTGTCACCCATCATCATCATCATAATAATTGATGATGATGATGATGATGATGCAACTGAAAGCTGTCACTGAAGGGATCCACTTGGCTGATTTCCACGAGGCGAATTTCGCATCGAATTCGCTGCGAATTATCTTCGAAATTGTGTTAATTTTCACGAAGTTGCGAATTCGCTGCGAAATCACATATTGATTTCCCCCAAAACTCAACTTTAAAGCGCCTATTTTAAAAACTGCACGCATGGCGAATGTTTCAAGACTGTTTTTTTTCACAAATCAAGCAAATTTACTTTGATTGCTTTGATTGCTTTGATTGACTGCTTTGATTGGTAATTAGGTGCTGCGAAATATTTTGCCGCGAAAAAGTAGATTTCTTTCTGCCTTCTTGCGAATTCGCTGCGAAATCAAAAATCAAAACTGTGCATGCCTTGATACCTTCATCAGCGATTTCACTGCGAAATTCGCCTCGTGGAAATCAGCCTTTTAGGTTGTCCTTAACAATTGTCACATAAGGTTTCACCAAAAGTTGTAACCAAAAATTTTCACGTCTTTCGCCCGTCACATGCAGTCGCTATCTTTCCCCGTATGTCTTTACGTTGATTATATGATTCAAGATAATCCCGTGACTTAATTCCGTGACGTCATGAGCTTACCGCTCGCTTGCAAAAAATTTCAGATGTCGAAGGTAGAATTGCATTAAGCCGTTCCCCTGAATTCGTTCAAGCAATCACGGGGGTAATTAGAAACAATCGCAGAAAGTGTGAATTTAAAGTTACTCGCTTTTTAATGAAGACATTGCTGTAATTTAAACTGTGAAAGATGGTGATTAATTTATATTTTAATGTACAACAAGCTTTGGTAATATAAAACCTGTAGGATTTTGACCCACCTTTACTCTTTGTATTTACTTAATTGTTATTATTAATTTTTTTATTTATTTGCTGATGTCACTTTCAATGTGTTTTGCCACAAGCAAATTGTATCTTAAAAAAGTGTCAAAACTAGGCCAGATTTGAATTCCAGATGTAAATCAATTCAATGCATCCACATAGAAGGCTCATTTTATATTGAATCGCGCAAATTTTATTTTGCTACTGTTCTGACTTGACCATTACAACCTTGACGTCCGTGTTTTCCGACAATCCATTACAACCAAAGAGCTTGTTATCTATTGAATTTTCAAAATAACAGTCATCCTTTAGACATAATTATTGGGAGATCCTATCTTTACGGTTTTTTTTCTGGTTGATTGAGGAATTTATCTGTAAGCCAATTTTGTATTAGCTCACGAAAGTAATCAGAAATTTTACCGTAGAAGCTCTATTAAGCCCTGCGGGGGATTTATTTTTTCAGTCCTAGAGGGGGGCTTATAAGAGCTCTTGGATTTCTTCGAAAGAATCAGCATCATTATCCTCTTGACGTCTAAGGCGCACAAGGAAATCTTTACATGGGCCGTATTTAATGCACATCATCTGATCATCATTGCACCCGTCAATACAGCATTTCTTCCCTGTTTATAAGAATCTCAGGCTTCAAAACTGACAATTATTCATTTTCAATTTGTTTCGAATTCTCCACTATTATAAAGCCTACCTATATAGGGGTTTTTCCGGTTTAAGAATTCTTCAGTATCACCACATTTGTGCTTGATAATTTTATTTACATTAATTTCTTGTTGTGTCTTTGCTTTTATTTGATCGTCAATTTCTCTTATTCAAAATTGTACATAACGATTTTTTATATTTTTTTCAGATTCCGGTGATAACCCACTTTCTTGATGATGTTGAAACCCGTAATTATTTCTCGGGGTTTTGTGATCTCGGAGTGAGGTGGCAGGCGATCGAGGCTGAGCAGATGCGGAGCTATTTCAAACTGTCTGCTGACGATACTGGGGTTCTCATTGCTAAAGTATTTAAACTTTCTTGTAGTCACAGCCGTTTGAAAAAGGGAGACGTCTTGATGTTTTTAGACGGGTATCCAATCGCTGATAATGGAAGTGTGAGTATCGCTCTAGTATTCTGAAACTTGTTGGTACTGTAACTGGAAAAGTAACTGGAGGTCAGTAACTAGCGTTGCAGTGTGACATACGGTAGTAGCAACGTGAACACTTCATCACGTGAATGAGCAGATCCATAGAGTCAGGGTGGCAGTTAAAATAAGACAAAAATATCAGAAAAAAAAATTACGGCCAAAATGTTGGCACTACCTAGATGAATCTCCCCCTCTTTTTGAGTGATACATGCAGCAATTGGACAGGAATCCCAAAATACCTCAATTAGAAATTGGTATGTTGGTAATTTCTCACAAAATTCATCCAAAGGAGATTCTGTATATTCAGGTGCAAATCTGAACACGTTTTGTTGCGTTCAAATGTTGACATTTTCAAGTCGATTTGGGAAGTGAAATTTGGAAAGAAGATCCTTTTTATGAGAAATAATGAGATACGAAAGATTTCTGTTGTCAGTGAGAAACTAAAAATAAGTGAGCATGAAAACTGACCATTATTTCACCCAGACATGCATCCCTTCTTCAAAATAGAAACTGTTCTGTCATTTGATAGAAATATCAGGGTGTCATTTAGAAAAGCCTTTTTGCTTGGAAATATAAATTTCTCGTTCACAGTCGTTCACAGTCACATTGATACGAATCCTATTTCATTATTGACCCGATGTCTCATTTTTCGGCTATGTTCAGTGTCTTTTAGACAAACGGTTCCAACTTTTTACTGATCATATGACTGAACACTGACATGTGATCTAGCTGAATATTGTCTTAACTCGCTTTATTTTTTGGCGCCAAATTACAAAGAAATAAGCCACAAGCTGACCAGTACAGTAAATTGTAAAGATGGATGGAAGCTCAATAGCTGCGTTTGGAATTAATTGAACTGATTGAGAGGAAAATGTGAAAGTACAGCGGAGATGGTATGATATGGGATAGAAAGACGAAGTGAGCTAGGTTTTTATAGCGATATTTTTCGAGATCTAAGTATTGAAGATCTGATGAGAGTGAAAAAGACATAACACCAAAGCAGGTTTGCGGCGGCAATATAGCTATTAATGAATAAAAACAGACTCAAGGCCACGGTTTAAATGGGATGTTGCCCAAATGGGATGGCGCCTGAATGGGATGGTGCCTAAATAGGATGGTGCCTAAATAGGATGGTGCCTTAATGGGATGTTGACCAAACGGGATGGTGTCCAAATAGAATGGTGCCTAAATGGGATGGTGCCTGAATGGGATGGTGCCTGAATGGGATGGTGCCTGAATGGGATGGTGCCTGAATGGGATGGTGCCTGAATGGGATGGTGCCTAAATGGGATGGTGACCAAATAGAATGGTACCTTAATGGGATAATTGGATGGTACCTTAATGGGATAGTGTCCAAATGAGATGGTGCATGAATAGGATGGTGTCCAAATGGGATGGTGTCCAAATAGAATGGTGCCTAAATGAGATGGTGTATGAATAGGATGGTGTCCAAATGGGGTGTTACCCGAATGGGATGATTTCCAGATGGAATGGTGCCCAAATGGGATGGTGTCCAAACGGAATAACTCTCGAACGTAATCCAAGTGCGCATAGTACATAGAATCAGGCTCAGTGTTTGGTTTTAACCCATCTTGACTCAGAGTAAAGTATATTATCAAATATAGATGTTAAACAAATAGCATACTGATTGACCTCCCTTCTTAACATTATTCATCTTTTAAAAAGTATGGATACTTTTGCTTTGAAGTCGCAACTTGAGTAAAAGAAATCAAATATCATTGAGACATTGGTGAATACCTGCACCATACAATAATCTCTGATGCCTTAAAGACTATTTGAGAACAAATAATAGGTTCCATTCCATCGTTTATAAAAGTGAAGAAAGATCAACCGAATGAACACAAAACTGACAAATTGGGGAGTTTAGAAACATCCCAAAAATCGTCCAAACTCCAGTTTACGTGAGAGAGCAAAGCAGCCCTGTGATGTACAGGGTTCTTTATTGTTTCTTTTAACTTGTTTTGAGAGTTTTTGAGTCCTTAATCTGGTTGGCTGACGTATATTGACGGTTTGAAAGACTCATTTAAGTGGCATTATGCTTGCGAAAGAAACGAGTTGTGATTCACTGATTTCATAATCATGCCTTTCCTTTATGCTGGTTGTGACCTTGCCTTTTTAATCAACCTATTAGGAAGTTGAAGTGAAATCTTTTACAGTAGAATATTAGCGCGTGGAGCGGTGCCAGCTAATCTCTTTCAGTGGAAAAATAATATTTATTGACGTAATGATATTAGCCTTCAAATCTAATGTGCCAGTTGTAAATGATTTTGCATATTTTGCAGGTGCTTTTCCGTGGGGATGAGCGCATTTATTGGACCTATTTGCTGCATTCAAAATTTCCTGGTCAAACAATACATGCATCGATATTACGAGCTGGTGAAAAATTGGATGTCGAAATAAGATTAGCCGTATATAAACCTCTTGTGCCTAGGCAATTATACGATCGAACGCCAAGGTAACTGCCTGTGTGTATGTTATTCGACGATTAAACGTATCAAAAGAAGCCACGTTCCTATCTAGCTAAGAAACAAAAGGTTTCTTTCCTGGCATGAAGATTAAAAAAGCCTTGTTGACACGGAACCCAGTCAAAATTTTTAGATATAAGCATTTGCAATCTTCAGATCGTTTGCAATTCAAACCCAGCGCACTTTCCTGTAATGCTGATTTAGAATCGATTTCTCCTTAGAACGTATCGAAATGTCATATTCCTTGTATCCCGTTCGGCTTTTTCATCTGAAGCCTCTTGTTCAAAAGTTACTTTTTCACTTTGATTAAATTGTTTTTTGGTATATTTTCTGAAATATTTTCTGGCAGCAACGAACATTTTCAAACGCGATTGGCGTTATGAACTTTGTGTTCTGAAGCCTTCCCAGATGTATAAACTAATGTGTCTCGCTCTGCCAAAGAGTAATGTTTAAGGCTTCGGTTTTTAAGCTCTTTCCTTTGGTCACAGTAGACTCAAGTTAACAAGCTCTTCCTTAAGGCCTCCTTTTTGTTTTAGCGATAGATACCCTTTCCAGTTGTAAATATTTACTGCTTCTCACCGTCGGCCAGATTCGTCCTTCTTTGCAATTTTTCCTTTTAAAATTCTGATTATTTTTGTAATGTCAGTTTTGCTTTGCTTAAGATCATATCGAAAGTGGAAGGCCGAATAATTAGATATTCAAGTCATGCTGCATTTTGCTTTGAAAATCAAGCCTTTTCTTAGTACGAGCTTTGCGAATTTTATCACATTGCATCATTCATGTCGTTTACCACGCTGTCCATTGTCGATACTGCTCTAATAAAGTAATGGCTGACTTTGCCCATTTTCTCTTAATTTTAGTTACGTAGTATATTGTGGCCTAGTCTTTGTGACTCTATCGCAACCATATTTACACCACCAATTTGGGAAAGACTGGATGACCAAATCTCCCGTGAGGCTTTGCGAGCTTGTGCGTAGCCATGCTGAAAGGGCGGAGCAAGAAGTGGTTTTATTAAGTCAGGTAAGTTTTTATGTTTATTGATAAAAATATATGCCCAATATGTCATTGGAAAAACACAGATCACAATGTTTGGAAGATGCATTAAAGAAAGGAACATACACTGAAATAGGCCACTCCGAAAAACGCAAGCACATGACCGGCATAGTTGTACAAACAGTGCTACCGGGCAAATATTTTCCATCGTGTTGTTTCGGACGCTTTTAGCAGTATGTTTTAAAAAGTTTGCTATTTTCATTGCCATTTTCAAGCTCTTTACCGCCAAAAAATGGTTCAAATTTAGAATGAGTACTCATGCTAAAGCTATTGTCACATGTAAAATTCATTCTACGATTTTTCGTTTAGCGTATACTGCCTCTAGCATCGGAACTCTTATTTGTTATTTTCTGGGGTCAAAAAAAGATGCAGTTACTGTTCGTAGTTGCAAGTTTTAGTTTTCCTCCTAAATAACTCCAGTTACCTGATGCTGGGGTGTGCCTTTTAGATCACAGGGAGCATCGAATATATTATTTTATCGTGGAATCATTGTTACTATTTTTCTTTCAATTGGTTTACAATCTCCTTTATCGTTTTACAAATGAAGTTTCTTTACTTCTGAGGGTTCCATTTGGTTTTTGCGAATGTTAGTGTATCGAAGTTTAGTGTACATAAAATGACACTGTACACTATTTAAAGTTAACTTGATTTGTCTGAAAGGAGGGCAGGTCACGATTAAGGGCTTACTCGTTAACTACTGTTGAATGGTTTCAAAATTTAATATGAAAAACCCAGCAGCATCGAAATATCAGGAGAGAAACCCAGCACATAAACGTCTTACCAAATTGAAAATTCTGCTTGTTATTCTAGGTTCTGGCATCTGAATTAACAGCAGGGTATGAAGGATTTTCAAATTTGCAGTTATTCAGAGTAAATGGAGTTCCCGTGTTGAATCTTCGCCATCTTTGCTACCTGTTAGACAGATACACACATCCCCATTTAGGCAACGAGGTTCAAATGGAGACAGAGACAAGTGATATTCAAGAAGACAAAGCCAGCCTCCACATCGGAACGGAATGCAACCCTGATTTTAATATAGGTCCCAAAACAAAGAAACCACGCTCTGGCGGTATCATGGCATGTCTGCCCTCTGAAACAGACGATGTTGATAAAATAACAAGTTTTGGGGACATTGAGAACGATAACAAAAGTGAAACGTCACCTATACTAAATAACAACGAAAGAAAAAGTGAATATAGTGATGTTTTAGATGGTTATGATCATGCAGATCGTGCACTTTTTGAGGAATTCACCAGAGAAAGTGCAAATTTGTACACGCAGGTAAAGGAAGAATCTTTGCTTCTGGACTGCGAAAATTTTATCAATTTTGAACTTGACCAGGATAAGATCATTGTTTTGAAAATAACAGAAGCAAAGATAAAGTCAAACGACATTTTACGACAGCATGCAATCACCAACCCTAGATCAGTGGATCTTCCAGGCTGTCGTTTCTGAGGATTGAATCAACATAATTAGAAACATCAGAAATTATCACCAATTAGCATCAATTATCATCAATTATCATCATTACCATTATCAACCAATCATTGTGATCATCACACCACCACCATTGTCATATTCAAAGTCATTGTTGTTATCATTGCTGTAGAATACTTCTTGTCTTTTTTGTTAGAATTTTAATTATAGTGGAAAAAAATACTAGCATATATAGACTTCTGTTAAAATAAAAATTTTCATAGTTTTTTTAAGATTATTATGAATTTCAATGTTTGTGATATGATAGTAGTTAATACCAGTGGCATTTGCTATCTAAGACATCTTTCTGGCTGTCAAAGCTCCAATAACTTTTTTGTCTTACTGACAACGTGAATATGTTTACGCCTGCGTGTAGGCAGGACACCAGTGAAAACGCAACTCAACTCATAAGCGAAAAGATTCTCAAACAGTAAACCCGGCAAGTCCGGTAAGATTTTAATTGCTTCGGTGCAGTACTCCGATTAAAATCAAATCACCTGATTGTGTTTCTTACTTTCGGCATTTTTAAGAGGACACGTTTCAAAGATGGTTCACGTGTGATATTTCGTTCTGGACCGTTTCAAAGAGTGACTGTACCCTTGTAATGCAAAAATGGCGCAGATTAGCATATTTGATTAATTCATATAGATGTGGCTTGTAACTGCTTTAAAATTTGCCCCACTGTAATAAACATTTTAGCGAAAAAATTCGTAAGAGAATTTAATTCCATTTTAAAGAGTTTTATCTTGAAAATGCAAAAGAATCCACATATTGGGAAATGTTTCATGACCCATTCCATCTACAAATTGGCTTGTGCAGAGGCCTACGACACTGTGAATTTTGTAATGTTTATTGGACACTGATCACTCAAAGGTTCTACCTTACTTATTTGCTAAAGCGATCACATGTTATAAAGGCCGAAGACATCTGTAAAGCCCATACCGAGAAAGAAATAATAAGTCCAAATCGATGCGTTGTATAGCATCTCCTGTGACTTTTTAAAATGCTTGGTGAAATCTACTGTAAATTGATGTTACCACTAGGTGTCTTACGTCACTTTTATGTGCAAATGTCGATAGTTTATGAAAATATATTGTCAATGAATTGGCTTTCGTTAGGTAAATGCTATTCCATGAAATAACAATAAAACTGATTAATACTCACTGTTTTGGAAACTAATTGTAACAATCAACATGTTTATACCTTAGATCTGAAAACTTTGGAGGGAGTTCTGACTTTAAAGAGAAATCCGCCTTTTTCAATATCTGTTTTGATTTTCTGGTTACCTTATCTGTTGAAAAGGATCTTTCAATAATTTTTTAAAAACATCTCATAATTGATTTTTAATGGTCAAAAGGCTCCACTTCACCCTGAGATTTATTACCAGATTTTTCACCTCTTTAAATATCTATATAAACCATCTGACGAGGAAGTCGAATGCAGTTACAAGGTGATGAAGATTTCCTACAATTTCCTAGACTAGGAAAATCAACTTCTCCTTTTGAAAATTATCTTCTAAATAAACTTAAATAAACTAAGATAAAAGCTGTTGTCTTTAGAATGGCTTTGAAAAAAACAAACATTTGAGTACAATAAAGCTCTTTATCTGACCCTCTTCAGAATTTAAAACGTCAGAACATAGATCAAAACTCTACGCTAGGAAGTATATATACCCAGTTGTAAATCGAAATAGGCCAATCAGAAACGCGAGCACATGACTGTTGAAGTTACCCAATCAGTGCCGCTTTTCTATTGAGAATGTTACCATACACAATAGCGGCTTTATCCTGCGTGTGAGATAGATTCCCCTCTTTATCTATCTACATAAGCACGAAATCCATTGGGTAACCTCAACAGTGATGTGCTCGCGTTTCTGATTGGCCTATTCCAATCCACAACTGGGTATATAATTTACTGGCGTAGAGTTCTAGATCTATGTTCTGACGTTTATACTCAAAAGTTTGCTTCTTTTAAAGCCAGTTTTAGTTTTGTATCACCAAAATATTATTTGCTGCTGCCTTTGTTAGTTTTGTCATCAACTTCCACTTAAAGACTCGTTGCTAACAATGGGCCTTTGCGAGCGTGGCGACGATCCAAACAATGGCAGTAAACTTCTACGGATTAACCAAAGTTGATTTCAGACTGTCTAAAAATGCATTATGGGATGCTTGCGTAGCGCAATGGCTCATTGTTAGCAATGAGTCTTTAAGCTTTAAACATCGAGGTGTAAACAATGTGCCCGACGAAACGAGCAGTTGCTGTGCAAACTACTCAATCCTTCGGCCCCGTTGTTTAATCGAGTCTTCAAAAGACTTCTTTTAAAGATAAATCAGAAGAGGTCCCGAAAAAAACACAGTTATTTGTGACTCTTAAACTCTTACCATAACTTCTTCTTACAATAAATTTATCAAACAATAGAAAACTCGCAATACTCCTAATATTAAAAATCAGATAGAAACGTTAAAAATTATACAACAACGTGGCAACAAAACACACGACTTAGGGTCTTCAGAAGTACATAACAACTTTATAAAATATCGAAGTTCCAGGAGTGCTTTTAGCGTCAGAAATTAAAAAAATCAGCACCAATGGCTTTAAGTTAAGTCAGAAACCAGCCATGTCGCTTTTTTACAACGGCTGAAAAGGGCCTAAACCCCTGTTAAAAAACATGCAATTATGTAAAAAGAATTTGGATAACAGATTCTACTTTTGAAGAAAGGAAAGTTTCACACATACCCCAAGTTTTACTCGTTGTGTGATATTGTATCGGGAAAGCTCTAAAGCTATTCACAATATACTACTGCTAGAATATAGTTAAAACAATATGACCAAAGTTCATGAAATTGTTCTTGCGGGCTAAAATATGCCCTATCTTTAAACATACGAAACTCTTTGATTATCATAACAAATCAATTAAGTCTGAACGTGTAATTTTGTTGGATTAACATAGTCAAAGAACACTCCATGACACTCTATAAGGATCGTTCTCTGCTAACTAGATTTTCATACATGCGAAAGTGAGTGGACCTCTGCCTCGCAGGGAACAAAAACCAAAGCTAAGAAAGTCACATTGCTCTTGGCAAATTGGAAATCTAAGTTAGAGAGGGTGGCCGAGTTTTTAATATTGCTTCTTTTCGACAAGCAAGTAGAAAATTTGCTTGAAATCAATTAATAAAACTGCTATAGCAATGTTAAGGTACATTTTCAAGGAAAACATTTGACATGATTTCGTTTTGCTTACCAACTTTGCAATAAGGTAGAGAAAATTGGGAATTTTTAGATACAGAAAAAGTTCAAATGAGGATAATGTGGGAATGAGGGTAAGGTGGGAATGAGGATAAGGTGGGAATAAGAATAAGGTGGGAATACGGATAAGGTGGGAATGAGTGGTAACATGACACTTAAATAAAACCTACCAATATGATTTTGCAAAAAATAAAACCAGCTCAATGGTAAAAACATCAATAGATCTGTGTGTAAAATAATTTCAACAAAACATGTATGCAATCGAGGTAGAACAAATTTAAATACAAACAATTAAATACTACCACTAAGAGAATTACTTGTATCTGATCTTCAGTTTGCACATTAACTTAAAAAATGGTCTAGAATCGTGGTCAACTTTAAACATTAACGCATAAATTTTAAACACAGCAAATTTAAAAAGTTAGATACGGATGAAAGTCGGACTTTTCTTTGTAATTAGCTTTCCGGTGATTTTCAATATTTGAGATTCGTCGCCAAGACAAGATCTAGCAAGGACTGGCGAAGGCTGTTCTGGTGCCTTGCCTGTTACGGATTCCTTTCAACAACTTTAATGCCATAGAGAGAAAATCATATTTCAAATTAAACATTCAATGTTTATCAAATACGTCTTGTCAGTCATAACACACTCCTTCTGTCTTTGGCATATTCATACATGTGTCATCTAACTTGAATACGCTGCTTTGAACCCAACTCTAAATGCTACGATTTCTGCATGTCAACAATTAACAACCTTGTCTGCGTAATTTGTATGAGAAATCAAATGTAAGGTCATCCAGCTAAGTGTTTTTTTGTTCCAAGGACATGTGTCAAGATGCTATTTAATCATCTTCATCAGCTTCTGTTTTCGATTTTATCTCTTTAAAAAGGATTTTGATCTCGCGCTCCAGCTTTCTCGTTTGATCTGGGTCGAGTGGGTCCTGTTCATTATAATCATCATTTTCGTCATCAGAGTTGTATGACGTCTCCGTTAAGTTATCTGCATCGAGACAGCTAATCTCGCTGGGCAGCATACGTCTTTGCCTTCGATACGGCACTTCGTCTGTGTCCGAGAAGGCAACACTAAGGGATGGTCTGGTGCAAGATTCAATATCTGAAGGGCAAGTTTCTGACGGGGGTGCGGGGTATTCACCACCAAGGAGATCTTGTAAATATAATGATGTGTTGTCTTCGAGAGCGAGGGAGTACCTATTATTAAAGTCTTTGGCTGACAGTTGTGTCGTAATACATTCATAAGGCTCCAAAAGTGAAGAATCTGACCCCCTTGAGGCAGCTGCTCTTTGGATGGTGGGCGACCTCTCTGGCTTCGTATCATTCCTCTTCTTAACACGAGCTGCAACAGGTGATCCAGTTTCGGTTATTGCTAAAGACTGCCAGGACAGGCGAACATCAGCCGGACGCTCTGGGACCGCCGGCCTTTCATTTTCGTTAAATGTCATGGAGCTGCGGCGACAGGACCGACCTAAAGATAGTTCTATTAGTTTTGCATAGACATTACCATAAAAACAAAATAGTACATATGATAAATAAAAATGGTAAATAAGAAACACATAACAGGAGGAATTGAGAAAACAAATATCAATAAACACATGAATAATTGAAATAAAACCAGATACATTGCTGATTAACTGTGGTTGCGTACACTAAATCAAAATCTATAAATTAATAACTCAAAGTTTTAACATGCTTCCTAACATTTGACCTTCATCAACATCTGAACTTTACACCAAGTAAGAGCTATCGCATAAGTGGGTTTGAGATCCTTTAAACAAAAAGATGATTTTTTATCTTCATTTTGCTCTAGATGGCCTGTCAAAATCTCACTCTCGTGGAAAAAAAATTTTGCTTGCTTACCTGCGGGTTTTTCCGATTGCTTTTCCGGTAGTTTAGGTGTATCTTCGTAGCCATAGTTATAAGACAATCCCATCCTGCTACCCTCTTTTGACCTCGTTCTGGTGGGTTTGGATCTATTGGCAACATCTTCTGGAACCTCGCAATAATCCCAATGGTAGGGCCCATTCAACTGATCATCCGCCTCACTGATGTCTGATGCGCTGCCCTTGACATCCAAAGCATTGTCACTGCCCCTTGGCGTGCTTGGCAGCGATCCATCTCTAAATGTAGGCAAAAGCTTTTTCGACAAGGCACTCGAGTCAGGGGCTTTTATGCATCTGTCGTCATCAGACATAGTGGACTGGGGGGACGTTACAGCTTGAGATGGGTCGTAGAGAGCAGTTGTGGCAAAATCAGCAGAACCATCAGTGTAATAGTCAGGAGGCCCATCAAAGCGTGGGGGCACATGCGGTGGAAACTGGTCCAGTTCAATACAGTTCAATGGGTATTTAATATCAGGACCATCCGTGCCTCTTGGCTGACTGTATTCCTGCTTGGACTTTCGTCGCCAAACACATACGACAACAGCAATAATTATTATAATGATCACAATAGGAATGCCAACATATAAAAGCAAGTTGAAGTTGAACGGTTCACTTCTGTCGGCAAGCGCACCCTTTGCAATACAATTGGGAGAATTTTGACCGTTTGTGCAGTTACAAAAGAAACTTCCTATAGTGTTGATACAGGTGCCCCAGTCACCACACGGATTCTCACTCGACAAACACTCGTTTACATCAAACTGACAATAAGCACCTTTATAACCCTTTTTGCATTTGCACACAGGACCATCCATGGCTTCTTTACATAAGCCATGTTTTCCACAGCTATGGTGCTGGCAGTAGGACCCAAAGCCACACCGCTTTCCCTTTTTGCCGGGCGGGCAGTCACACTTGTAATCATACTGAAATGTGGTGCATCTGGCACCATAGAAGCAGGGCGATGATGCACAGGGATTCGTGTCCAACTCACATTTTGGCCCGCGGTATCTTTGTGGACACATGCAGCGGTAGTCTGTTCCTTCATTCAGGTTTTCACATTTTCCACCGTTCTTGCAGGGATTGCTTGCGCATAGACCGTTGTTTGTTTGGCACTGCGCTCCAGTATAAGGATGCTTGCATGTGCATCGATACTCAATTTCGCTGTTGGCCTTGAAATATGTACACGTGCCTCCATTCCTACAAGGGTTGTCTGCACAAGTCACAGTGGGCTTACACAGTGTTCCTCTGTGACCAGGCATACATTGACATCGGTATGCCGAGAGAGTGTCGATGCAGTCGCTGAAATGAGGGCACTTCGTCTTCTTGCAAGCACCAGAACCTTTACAAGACTTCTTCACACCATAAGATCTTCCACTTAGTATCAAGCTATTGTTGCCGTTCCAGGGCAAAAGCTGGCCATTTAGCTTCGGGTATCGAAGACAGCCCCGGAATCCGTTTTCTGTTAAAAATAAAGTTGGGTCAAGTTGGCTTTATGAATGGTTCTGAAACATTCAAAGAATATTGAAGACCAAGCTAAATCTAAGGTGTGAGAAGAAGCTTCGCAAAAAATTCCTTAGCAAAGGGGGGAAATAAAAAAGGCGCAAAAATTCGAGGCTAATAGTTATTGTGGAGAGAAAGAATAAATTAATTTTTTCAATTATTATCAATCTTCCAAAGGTTCTGTTCAAAGGAGTTGCTTTGAGAAAGGTGTAAATATGGAAGGTTCGCTAAAGTACTCACCAACACTGCCTTGTGACAAAACTCCTGCTCCAAAGAAAACGTTGTTGCTATCTAAGTTGATTTTGACATTTTCACCTTTAGCCCGACCTTCGGACTTATATTTGCCATCATCAAGAATTAAGGTAGCACGGTTGGCGCTGCGGATGACTTTCACATCGTGCCATCTACCATCATTGACTTGTATGTCGTCGATCTGAACAATCCCCTGACCAGTCCCAAAATCGAATTTGAACCGAACTTTTCCCTCGAAAACCTAAAAAACGCATAAAAATACAACTAAGCTTTTCTAAAAAGTATGAAAGTTTTGTCCTGTATAGTGGAGAAAAAGAGAAATAGAAGATCAAAAAAGCATAACAAAAAATGTGAAAGTTTTACGCCAGCGACTGAATGATACATAGCCAGATGTAAAGGGGTTCATGGCAGGTCTTTCCGCTCAAGACACATAACTGATAGTGATGAAACAACTGGCATAAGAATATTAAATTAGTACCTGGAAGGTAAACCAACAAAACGAAGGCGATCTTCCATCTACGCGATGTGTCAGGGCAAAAGGCCACCCCCAACCACCAAAGGTTTGTACTTTGCTGTTAAGGCCTAGACCAATGCTCTATCAATTTCATTAGCGGCATTTATGCAGCATTAGGAAAGTCAGCGGCATAGCAGTATCAAATATTGGAATATTTTCTAGTTCGGGAAACGTTTGGCATTTTTACTACATTCAGCTCACATTGGTTTTGAACACTTACTACATTCTTTGCTTTTAAAAAATGAAAGAAGATTGTTTCCTTAATTTTTTCCACAACCGATCAAATAGGACATTTCCAGCTTTCAACGTAAAGTAACTAATTCTGTGATTCCTGTGAGAATAAAGGGTATTGCCAACTGACAACTATTCAATGCAATAATTGCAACACCGGGGTATTGCCAACTGACAACTATTCAATGCAAAAATTGCAACACCGGGGTATTGCCAACTGACAACTATTCAATGCAATAATTGCAACACCGGGGTATTGCCAACTGACAACTATTCAATGCAATAATTGCAACACCGGGGTATTGCCAACTGACACTATTCAATGCAATAATTGCAACACCGGGGTATTGCCAACTGACAACTATTCAATGCAATAATTGCAACACCGGGGTATTGGCAATGCAATAAGTAACGACACGTACCTCCAGGAAGCAGTAATCGTTTCCTTTGGCATAAAACAAGTAACCCTCAGAAGCCTCGGTTCTGAATGACACAGAAATTGACTTGAACGTTGAATCAAATGGCTCTCTCAAAACATAACTAACATAATCTTTGCCATCAAGCTGAATTGCACCGTCATCTAAAACAAAATTAAACATCAATTTAAAATAAAGTACTGAGGAAGGGTACTAGCTACTTTCAATTTAAATAACTCTGAGAGAAAATCTGTAATTTCAATTTGAGCAATTTCTGTTTTACTTGTCTCTCTTCTCAATTGAAAAAATTAATCTACATATAATTTCATTCACTGCAAAATACATAATCTACATTCATAACGAAGTCTTCAAAAAGATATTGCAAAAACAACCCCCACAAAAGAAATCAATGAATTTTGTAAAAAGATCTGCTAAATTTTTTATCTTTTTATTTATATAACTGTTTTTAAATCGACAAAAAACGCCCAAAGTATATTCTGAATTGACAAAGGAAAAAGTTAAAATCGACAAAGGGCGTCCAAAGTATGCGCAAAGCATATCTGAAAGAGGGCAATAAAAATCAAGAGCAACAATGTATCTTACTCATGTCCTTTTTGCATTCAAAAGTAGAGCCAATGGGGATACATTTTTCATTTTCCTTGCAAGGATTACTTGAGCAGGCTGTAATGCCAGTACAGTCCGGCCCTGCAGCAGAAAAAAGAACGAGGTGAATGATTATGATTATACACACTGCTCTCGTGTGGAATTCTACACTTGCTAGCAACTTGTTTATCCAATTGAATGGACAACAAAAAAGGGTAATAGGAAGGGGCGTGAGACAGCTCCACTACTAGTTTCAGCTAACCTAGCTGTAAAAGGGGACAGCAAAACATATCGATTTACAAGACAGCTCGGTTTTAGTTTCACAAACCTTTGTGAAACAAAGTACAAATCATGCTTAATATCAGCAGTAACCGGTGTGCAGGTCTTTAAAAAGGTCCGAATTAAAAAAACGTTCAAAGGAAGACAATTTCAACAATAAAACACAATGGTTCTTGGCCATACCTTCACTTCCATCCAAGCAAAGGCAAGCATAGTTGCGTGAAAATTTTGTCGAGAGACCAGTACTCGACGCGCTGCTCCCGGAAACAGGTTTAACGACAGCAATGCACCTTTTGTCCACAGGGCAGGGCGCCGCAGCGCAAGGGTCTGTCACCGTAATAAGAACAGAAACGCCAAGTTTTGTTTCGAGGGTTTCTTTGGAAAGTTTGAGTGACGACTGCAGCACCGATGGCTCGATAAATCCGTCCTAAAGTGAAAAAAAGAGAGAATTTACCACTCCAGAAATACAAAATAAGCAGGGAATTCCTTACTAAATACTTCAATTCACTTGGCTATTACAAGATCTAACGTAAGGTTGTAAAATCTTTCTTGAAGAATTAAAAATACTTTAATTTTCAATTACAAATTGCAGAATTACCCCGTTAGTTCTTCTGACAGCAAAAGCAATATCTGTATCAGTCCTCGAACCAACATCTCTTGTTTTTCTCTTCATATCTTTCGTTTGTACAGCCCATATGATGATGTTTTCAATTTTGGCGGATGTTATCAATCGGATGTGATTGGCGAACTTTTTTATTTTGTAATTAACAAAGTCATCGGCTGATAAATCTAGTGCAGTCAGCACCACACTGTTCTGGTACAATTCTTTAGTGACCGGGTTAACAATAATGGTTATTGTGGCTGAGGCACTGAACTTGCCATCGAACACTTCAACACTTATTGTGTAAATGCCCTGCCTTAAATTGCCCTTGATGAGACCGGACACTGGCTCAATAGAGAAGGTTCCGTCGTCATTTCCAGCGGTTATTTCAAACTGATGAAGATATTTGCCTTCGTTTGGAACCCGGACACGTCCAACAGTAACTGTCTGCGGTGATGTTGAAATCACTTTGAAGAACATAGTCGGTTCAAGGATAACCGGTTTTTCGTCACTTGGTGGTACGATATGAAGAGTCAGGTAACACAAAGAGCTCTGTGGAGGCGAACCATTGTCAGTAACCCGCACCACCAAGTCGTACTTGAATCCCTCAGATCGACTCAAGTTTTTATTTGCAATCAAGCTTCCTTTCACATCACTTTCATCGACCACGCTGAACTTGTTTTTATCACCTTCTATAAGTGTATAAGTAAAAGGAGGTCCGTTTTTCATCGTATCTCGATCACTAGCAGTCCAAGAAAATATAACATGTCCTCTGCCTCTTCCTTCAGTAACTACTACCGTGGCATTTGACGGGCTAATATCTGGCGGGTTATCATTCAGATCTGCAATTGTAACATTAACCAAGACATCGCTAAACTGCGAAGGGGTCCCTGCATCAAAGGCACGAACTTTGAACACATAAAAGTCCTTTTCTTCTCTATCAATTGGCCCTGTCCCAGCCACACTCACCGTGCCTGTCTCTTTGTCCACTTTAAAAGGCACATTTTTATCAGATTTAACCAGTCTGTAGGACACATGCGCATTGTCACCTTCATCGGCATCTTCAGCAAAAACCTGCAATACCGTACCAGCCCTAACGTTTTCGTCGATCTTCGCCGCATACAATGGCTTGGAGAAAACCGGACGGTTATCGTTTTCATCCGTGACGTATACGACCACTTGCACGACGGATGTCAATGACGGTACTTTGGCATATCTGGCTCTGACGCTTAAAGAGATCCTTTTAGCTTTTTCATGATCAAGCTCCTTTGCCAGTGAAAGCTCGCCTGTTCTCCCGTCTAGCGTAAACATATTTAAATCTCCAGTTACGAGCTCGTATTCTACAGTGCCTTGTGAAGGTCCAGCTCTTTTTAAAGCTTCGATCTTTCCAATCACACTGCTAACAGCTAGACCTTCTGAAACAGAAAACGTGTACATGGCTTTGCTGAACTCTGGGGGTCGATCTGACTCAGCTAAAACGATTATGTTTACAGTTGCCGATGACGCCAACGCAGGGCTACCTCCATCAAAAGCTTCCACGGTTAGCAAGTGACTATCCTTCTTTTCCTTGCTCAGCGACTTTTCCAGCAAAATGATACCAGTTTTTGGTTGAATTGAAAACAGGTCGGAGCCTGTCATTCTGTAAAACACTTTACGGTTCGGACCTTTGTCGGCATCAACAGCTTGCACCCTTGCCAACATTGAAGACAATGACGCATTTTCTCTGACAGGAACAACATAATTTTCTTGAGCAAACACAGGCTTATTGTCATTTTTGTCCAGTATCTCGACATAGACATCAGAATAACAAGACCGTCCAACTTTGTCAGTAACTAGCACCTTGAACTCGCTGGTAGCATGGCTCTCTCGGTCAATACCAATGCCAGGCATCAATTCGCCTACAACAAAGAAATGTCAATTGATTATTGACTCAAGTAACAAAGGGATACTACTCATTTCAAAATATCAGCGCTTTGAAAACAGATATTTTGAAGAATATAACATTGGTTATCACATGATACAGGAGGAAAGATATACCAAAAAAGCTTTTGAGCATCGATCTTGAGCACCGTTATAATGGAACACTTAGTCACTCTCTGTAATTCATAATATTCATTTAAAAAATTCAGTCAAATAAACTCAGTAAAGAAAAGGTCAAATTGGAACCAACTGTGAACTAAAACGCCAAGAGTACAGATCAAGAGCTAGTTAATAATACTCTACATACCATTCCCCTTATTGATCAGAAATTTACTGACTCCATCCCCCTGAAGGGTGAAAACAAGTTGGTCATCAATATCTGGATCTTTTGCTTCAATGCGAGAAATGATTTGGCCAGCCTGTGTTCCTTCGGGTAGCTTTATTTCATAAAATGCTCTGCTACAGACGGGGGCATTGTCATTGGTATCTGCGACTGACACATGCATGTTGGTTGACGAGGTGAATGCTCCATCATAGGCTACTACTTCTAAGTCATAAGCAGCAGTTACCTCCCGATCCAGTGGCCGCACAAGCCTAATATCTCCACTATCTGCTCCAATACTAAATCGACCAAACTCGTTTCCTTTAACAATGAAATATCGAATTGAAGGATTCTTGTCTGCATCCTTCGCCAAAACAGTGGCAACCCTTTCATTGATAAGAAGATCCTCTCTCACTCGGACATCTGGAGAACGGTCCTGAATTACAGGTGGTGAGTTATTGGTATCTAAAACAGTGATTCGAATCTTAGCCGTGTCATGCAACTTCCCTTCATCAGAGTTTCGTCCATCTGTCACTTTTATCTCAATCTCATAGCTGGAGGTCTTCTCAAAATCCAGAACTGAGCTTGTTTTCAAAATTCCAGTCCGTTTATTTAGAGTAAAGGCTCTCTGGATATCACTTTTTGAAGGAGACTTGGTAATGTGGTATCGAAGATCACCGCTGCCAAAGTCATCCTTATCAGTGGCAGATACTTGAAGGATATTTGTGTTTACAGGAATGTTTTCTGGAATCCTCACCTCATACACTTTTGAATCAAACACTGGTGGATTGTCATTGACATTCAAAACAATGATGTGTAAATTTATGTACGCCGCTGGGCCAGAACTGGCTGTATCTGATGCCTTAACCATCAAATTGTACCTTGGGACAGTCTCATAATCCAGTGTTCCTTCAAGATGTATGGCTCCGGATTTCGAGTCAAGGAGGAACATCCCGGAAGCGTTTGATAATGGTAAATTCCCCTCAACAAACTCGTACACGATATTCTTACTGTCTGACTTCACGGTGACGTCAGCAACTCTGTACCCCGACAGTTTAGACTCTGCGATTTTAACAGTAAATGACGACCTGCTAAACTGCAGTATTTTAGGGTCTGGTGGCACAACGTTTATTCTGATTGCCGAAGAGCTCTCTCGTCCGGGGTACCCGTTGTCCAAAGCTTGAATCACAAACTGATATGCTTTTCCTTGTGGTGTACCAGTCAACGTCAGCTCTCCAGTCTCTTTATTTATTTTCCAAGGCGCACCATCGCTACGAGAATAAGGAGCCACATTACGAATATAACGCGACAATATAGTGCATGATTGCTTAAAGCTCTGATTAGTTAGTTTCAAGCGTTCAGCATTATGAACAAAAATAAACAAAATACTTTAACCTTACATATAATTTTTTAATTCACTTTTGGTGTATAGGGCAGGACGATTCTAAGTTGCTACTCTGAGTTTTACGTTTGATGCAATCATCAGTCAACTGTTAAAATCCTTCTCTCCATGTGTGTCTTTTTTTCGTAATTAATACACCAAATTTTAAATGCAATATCTTGTTAACAAGGAGTACTTTGATGCGAGGAAATTGTAAAAAATATTCAGGTACGAGATAGATGCAACGAGATGCAAGTCTTAATGCTCTTTGTCTGCTCATTGTTTCTAGCACTTTGCAATTTCAACCCTATATAACTATAAGCAATTGGGTTGAGCAAAGAGTTGAGCGTATATCTCACTGTAAAATGTAGTTAAAAAGAACATTAACATCACCGGACCATACTGCTATTTTATTTAAGGAAATGCTTTGATTTCTTCCCGATTTACGTCACTTTTGAAGGGGAGAATACACAAACACTAGAACATTAACTGACTTACTCAAGCCCAGATATGGAGTAAGTAATGTCTCCGTTCTTTCCACTGTCTTCGTCAAAAGCTTTCACGTGCAAAACTGTGGTACCGATTGGCGTAGCTGTGCTAACTGTTGCTTCATAGCCCGGAAATTCGAAAACCGGACCATTATCATTGGCATCAATGACGTCAATTATAAGATTGCAGATATCAAACCGACCACCAATATCTGAGGCCCGGACAGGTACCACGACTTGACCTTTTACTTGCTCTCGATCCAAGGTGACCTTACTGAAAACATCTCCAGTCGTTGGATTTATATGGAACATTTGAGCTAGTCTGCTATTGTCAATGGAGTATGTTATGGTTCCATAGCTACCATAGTCGAGGTCAGTGGCAGTTACAACAGTCATGAAGGATGGTGCCGAGTCTTCTTGAACGCTGATCGAAAATTGTTCCATATGAAAAGTAGGCTTGTGTTCGTTGACTTCTTCTGGAATAATAGTGACGTCAGCGGATGACTGGAATTTCCCATCAGAACAGTGGACCTTAAACTGAGCAGTACTGCCTCGTTTGGGGCTTCTATTCAATGTGAGGATCCCTGTAAACATACCAACTGTCGCCAGGGTTGAATCCGAAATCAAGTAGCGAATTTTTCCGGCACTGTTCTGGTCCGTGTCAATACACAGTACTTTCCCAATAAACTGACCAGACTTGATAAAATCACCAACAGTAAAAATGTATTCCTTCTGGTCGAAAATTGGAGAGTGGTCGTTCACGTCGATGATATTGATCTTCAGAAACGTGCTGCTTGAGAGAGACGGCAATCCATGGTCTTCCGCTTTAACTCTAAACATGTATTCGCTTCTGACCTCGTAGTCAAGTTCGGCTGCAACCAATACTGAGCCTAAAGGGATAATTAAGATTATCTCTATTAACGATGATGCAAAGTCTACGAACCATCATGGTAACAAGAACACTTCAATTCCGTAAAATTAAAAAGAGAAGTAATATACCCATAATGCTCTCGACACATACTCATCATTATAAAGCTACAGATCTGGCAGGGAAAAAAAGCAATGAAAGTGCTGATACCTGTTGTTTCATCGATTTTGAAGAGAGGTTTCTTTTCATTCTCCGATACGAGACTGTAGGAGACTCTGGCATTTTCACCGAAGTCTTTGTCTTTTGCATTGAGGGTGATCACAAGGGTACCTTTTGTAGTATTTTCAAGCACGTTTGCTGAATAGAAGGCCTGGCTAAACATTGGGCGATGATTATTGGTGTCTATGACGCTAATCGAGCAGCCAGTGACTGACCAAGAGCCACTCTTGCTGTCCGTTGCTTGAATTGTCAAATTATACGCTGGAAATGTGAATGTATCTAGCCCGTCGAGGGTGGATAGTTCACCTTAAAAAGAAAAACAGATCTGAACTTTCTACTTTCATTTAAATATACACAAGGCGTGAAAACAGCATTACTGCAAGTCCAAGAAATCTGCGTGAAACCGGGGTGCTGTGAATAACATCTACTGCTTAATTTTAAATAACACAAGCATATAATTTAAAGAAAGAATTCTTGATGTTTTTACAGTATAAAATCCAGCATTTTGACTGATTGATTTAATTTTGAGGACTGAAACTCTTAATACTATAGAAAAAGATTGATATGGAAATGTTCTGTGTGTCAATCTTAGTCTTTCCTAGAAAAAACAATTGCCGAGCCAATTCTGCCTTCAAATTTTTTGAATATCTGAAACCACAGCAAACCATGCGAAACAAAGTGTATTTACTGTGAAAAGGAAATCGTTGACAAATTTCCAAAAATAAAAATTTAAAAAAGATGGAATACTAGACCTCCCTTGACCTTTTAAGTTTACTGTTTATAGAACTGTTGATATTATTTTCACTTGAAACTAATGACATATGATTAGCGAGATCGCCGTCTCCAAAGCAGATCACGATAAGCAGGAGTGGATATCATTGTTACGATTTTTAGGCCGATCTTCACCAAAAACAAGACAACAGAATTAATACTTTCCTACGGTCAAAGTATAACTATACGCATTCTTAATAGGAAGCAGCTTATAAGAATATGCTTTGCTTATGAGAAATCAATGTTGTATTTTGTTTGTCGTTTGCTACTTTATGAGACATTTTTAGTTGAAAGTAATTAGCGCTTTTTTCGCCCTAACAGAACCTGTTAAAAAGAAAAGACCGCCCAGATGAAGCCTTGGTGGACTATCTTAGGTTCAGCATCCTCCTCAACAACGATGTATACTAAGCGAAAACACGTGAAAAAGGTACACAGGCCTTACTTCAGGTCCTTACGCCATGCCTAAAACGAATTTGGCACGCTAATGACCTACCTGTGTTGAAATCCAACGAGAACTGGTTGAATTCGTCCCCACTTGCAATGCTGTAGTAGACACTTCTCCCCTGTGGGCCCTGTGCCACTATCTTTCCGATTATTGTTCCAGGAAGGGCATTCTCTGATACCACGAACTTGTAATTCTGATCAAACACTGGCATGTCCTCGTTAACGACCGGTATCTCTACAACTGTAACAGTTTTCAGCACTGGTGAGCCCATATCATGTGCTGTAACTTCAAGACTAAACTTGCCAGGAGTCTTCCCTTTGATAAACTGTTCTTTAACCTTTATCACGCCTGTACGCTCTTCGATGCTGAATTTGCCAAAGGAACCTCCTGTGATCTCATACCTGAAAGATAAATTGCAAAACATTTGTTTCTCTGCTACGGCGGGCAGACGTATAAAAATCGGTACCCTAACACCTGAGGTTGTCCCAAGAACCTATTACGTTTAAAAATCACCAACGACGTATTGTCCTTTCTATCATCCACAGCAAAACATTTCTCTCTTGGTGAGTAATGATAAAATCTGAGTATTATTCTGTATATAACAATGCAAGAAAAGAATTACACAATTCATTACCACCACACCAGAGCTGTGATGAAGATTGATGGGCAGAGGAGCAAAACTAGGCTAAGTAATTATTGAAGATAAAGGGAAGTAACGAATGATCTTATAAAAGTACTGCAAGGGATTTCGATCAATCACGGCCATAAAAACAGAAACTGAATACATATAAAAACTGAATTCTGCAAAGGTAGAAAAGTTGTTCTACTTGTTTTATCAGTCAAGATAATCAGATAAGGGCAAAAAAAAGAAAAAGGGATCACTTTGCCTGATGATGGAATTTAGCGTGAAACCTGGAGTTGAAACTAGAACCAGTTTTTTACACCAAAGCGTTTAATGACAGACAATAATTTTCATTAGATAAATGGCAATATGATTAATGGCAGTAAAGGTCACTGGAAAGGATAGAGTTACTAAATGCTAGAGTTGATCTTTTAAAAGGTCACAGAATGAATGGTTTGAGAAAGTAGACCGATTCACCGTGCCGTTGATAAAATTTAAGTCTGATTGCATTAGATAATCCTTTCGAAGAAAACAAAGCACCCGGAGAACGATGCACGAACGCAGATATCTAAAAACAGTATGCTTCAATGATAAAACCATCGGTTTGAGGATGACGTGAATGTTTGGTTAATATTGTAAGGATATTTGCGATTAGAAAGACCGCTTTTTCATCAGGCAAGCATGCTCACAGTATTTCTTCAAGCTCAAGCTTAATATTAAGTGGTCTGGATATATCAGTTTGACAAAGGATCAACATCGGATTACCGTGCCTTTGAGGTACGACTGAAATACCAGTGGCTAACACTGGAATCATAGCTTGAATAAACGTGTTAAGTCGTTTTAAAGGTGACTGAGGCACCGCATTTCATGTCAGACCACCACGGCTACCGCTAGGCCGAAACCATTAAGTTTTGCTATGAGCGCGGAAAGTTAAGCAAGTGGCATTTTTTCATCCGCGTTACAAGGAAATAAGGCCAAACAAGCAACTGCTATTCAAAATATCTAGTAGAAATACTTTTTAGGTTTAGGACCTGGAAGTACCAGTCATAGAACGTACAAGGAATGGAAGAGGTTTAGAGACTTTCATTTAAGAGCCGACCTGCAGCCTCGTTAGCAACATGCACCTGCTTGAAACGAGGCACCCCAAAGAGGTAGCACAGAAGATCAAAGTTATGGCTTAAAAATGGAGTATAAGAATGGCTTAAAAAGATCAGAATGAGAGTTATTATAATGTTGAAGTTTTCTCAGTGTGTACAGCCAAAGAACAAAGAACAAAAACAGATCAGGAAAGACTTCAAACTAAGTTATTCTACCATTTAGAACTCTTTAGCTACAAGGTAAAAGCAGAATGATGCGATGATTCGACGAGTCCTTCGTGATTGGAGAAGATGGAATAGAGTATAAGAAACAAACCTGACTTCTGCATTTGAACCTTCATCGGCATCCACAGCGTGCACTTGCAGCAGTGATGTATCTGCTTGAGTATCTATGTGCACACTTTGATAATATGGCGCGCCTATGAACTCTGGTTTGTTGTCATTCACATCAGCAACTGTGACATTAAGGATACCCTGTGCAACTTGCGATGGGTCCCTCATCAACCTTGCTTGGACAATCAATTCGAAGTGCGAGCTCTTCTCTCGATCAAACGCAGCACCATACCGTGTGCTGACTTCACCCGTTACAGAATTGATCACGAACTCTTCCTTGGGATTGGCAATTGAAAATTCAATTCTTTCACCAATATCATAGCCAACAACATTCAAGACCAAAAAATATCGGCTCTCGTTTTGATTTTCAATGATCGATGCTTGGAAAACTGGCTCTCTAAATTTGAACTTATTGGTCTTGATAGGAGAAAGGCTAATTACGACTTGACATGTGCTGGTAAATATTCCATCGGAAGCAGCAACTTTCAGTGAATAAGTTTTTTTAGTGATCGCCCCTGCATTTTTTGTCCATATGGTGCCAGTTTTTGGTGACACTTTGAAAAGGCGCGTGTGGTTTAGCAAATTGTACCTTACACTGCTGAATACATTCGAATCACCGTCGTTTGCATGCACAGTGACAACTTCTGTGCCATTGAAAATTGGCGTGTATAACTGAACACGATAAATCTGGCTGGTAAACTCTGGGATTCTGTCATTAATATCATTGACAATTATGCGCAACTCCGTGAAGGTGAAGAGACTAGGTGTGCCACTGTCAGTAGCTCGTACGTGGAACACAAAACTGTCCCTCTTTTCGCGATCCAAAACCTTGAGAAAAAAACAAGAATATTAGACCGACTGACTGGTATTCCTGTAATTTGTAAGAAAAATATTTCTCAAAGAGCAAACTAACAGCCCAAGTTAAATGAGGAATTTGTTCAATATACCTATGTATTAACTGTATACCATTCTTGAGTAATACTTGAGTAATATGAATTTGAACAGCAATTTTGGTCTAGCTAGCTCGAAAAATATTTGCTGATTCCCTAGCTAAAACTGAAACCACGCGTCTCAAAAGTATCTGCTTGAAAATTGTCCATAGTTAACAAAAAACTTCGCAATAGTTGAAATTTAATTAACATTGTTTACATTTATTTCCAATTGATATCGGTTCAAAACTTAGTTACCTCAAAGAAGAGAAGAAATTCGCCTAAAACATACCCTTTTTGTTGATAATTTTCCAGTCCTACTATCGATTTCAAAACTGCGCGAGGCACTGGCTTCAACAATAGAATACACGATGTGTGAATTCTCTCCTGAGTCTGCATCACTAGCTTCAACCACCAAGGGTTTGTTGAGCAGATCCAAAACTTCTGATCCTCTCCCAGAGCCCTCATCCACACTCCCTGTGTAGGAGCTGTTCACAAACTTTGGACGGTTGTCATTCAGATCTTTCACGTGGACAATGACATTAGAGGTGTTTGAGAAACCACCATCGTCCCATCCGTGCACCGCGAAGCAACATGCGCGCAGTACTTCAGCATCCAGAGGCACCTGTGAAAAGGGAAAATACACTTTCGGTGGGGCTTTCAGGGGGGGGGGGGGATGCAGCAATCAGAGTTGAAATCGTGTTATTTTGACAGTCTCAAAATCTTGTAGAATTTTCTAGTATCACACTAGAACCCAGGCTCTTTACATATACGCTTGATTGTGGTAGATTTAGATTGTTGTTTTACCCAGTTCGATTTCTGCTACAAAGATATTCAGTAAATATCGGCTACAAAAAACGTCAGCAGTTGAGAGTCTCAAATAATTATGCGGTTAGTCAAAATTTACATAGCGGGAAGTCTTGGATAATGATAAGTTAGTGAAGCCAAACGTACAAAGAATTGAAATTATCAAAGAATAAAGCAATGTAGAGTAAAGAGAAATTTAGCGCATCACAGAGGAATTCAAGAGAGAAAACTGTGAGCGGCCTATTCATGATTCCACCTTGCTCAGTCACACAGGGGAACAAAGATAGCACAAGTGCTTGCCTTGAAGTCTCCAGTTTTCGTAATCTCATCATACTGTGATCTCATTTACAATCACAGACCAAGTCATTCACAAAACATTTTGGCGGTATTCGCGGTGAAGGAAAATGTGGGTTACGGGCAGTCATTTAATGAAAAAACGTTATGTTGATGGCGAGGAAGTCCGCAACAGGCAACCATAGATAACCCGTGAGTTATGTAATCAAACAACTTTATAAATTTAGAGATTATGTCTCATCCAGTAAGCCAAAGATTACACATTTCCTGAAATCGGACCGCGGTCGAGGAAATCAAAAGGCTCTTTGAACAAGGCCCCTCAGGGAATGGGGAAATTCTTCATAGCAAGTAATCAAAGAATATTGCAATCAACCACTCATTCATTTAATTGAATCTTTTCAGAACGGTCTCGAATACAGGATGCTAAGAGAGAAAGAAAAACCACAGAAATTTTCATGCCTTCGGAAATAGATAAGACTTTGCAGCCAAAATTTCAATTTTTCCTTATTACAACAATTTTTCATTCATCAACGGGCTTCACATCTAGTTTTCCTTTCCAATCTGAAACATTACTAACCATGGCTCTACTTAATTTATTTTCTTTACTTGGAAATGATAAGATGCCAATTTGCTGTCGGCAATACAAAAACCAGTCAATACAGCATAGAAAGGGTTGATATTTGGTAGTTAACGTGTCGTCCTAACTGTCTTTGAGATATTGGTTTGAACATTTCGCCGCTTCAGATGTCGCTATCCTAGGGGCAAACCACTCCATGGAAATCTCGTACACCTTGGGTGGAAATCGTATTGTTTCATCCGAAAACTTTGGAAATCATTTCGGTGCAGGTCTCGTACGCTATTTGCAAAAGTGAATTGCCTTTCGTCGTTATCGTTCTGTTTCAGTTAACTTTCTAGAAAATTTCCTCCTAGTCAAAAATATCACACTACTCAAATTTTCTAAACGGGGAGAGCGAGGCTCCGAATTATTATTCTCTCTCTCCACTTCCGCTAGGGAAAAGTGTTTTCATTGCATGTTTTTCTTTGGCCTCATTCCAATATGAAATGATCTCATTCTCTCCTACGCCAATGGTCGCCCAAAGTATACTTCAAATACGAAAGAATGGAGCATTCAATACTTACACAAAATAAAGCAGATATCAGCATGAATCATGATAGTTAAAATGCAACAACTCGGCTTTAAGAATATAGCTTTTATTGAAAACCAAACTTTATTCAAATTGTAATATCCGTGGGAGTGAATCGCCTTCCTGTCTCAAAAAGCAACAATCAAAGACAATATTTGAAAGCTCTTAGCTTAAATCCTCTATTCAGCCGCGGAGCATAGATGGAGGGGGCTTAAACGTATAATGGGGGCTAAACATGCTAAAAACCAAAAGCATTTTTGTTATGATTTTAAGAGCATTTTGGAAATTATGGGGGGGGCTAAAGCCTCCGTACCCCTCTGCGGTCCCTGCACCACAAAAATGGTTTGGTTGGTATCTCACTTCCTCCCAACCAACATTTATTTGCCCCCTATTTCTAGAGTCACGAGTGACTAGATGAACGTAATATGACTTGAATCACGTTAAAGGCTCGCACAAACCTTTCTCAAAAATTTACAGTTGCGCTTTTATTACCCCGGGCCTATTAATACATCGTACACGTGGCCTATTGCGAAGGCAAGTTAACGAGAAACAAATGTGTCGTTTTTTTGGCTCCAAGAATAATTGTAAATGGAGCAGACAATTGATACAAATTACAATAATTTGCCCAGATTAGTCTAATTGCATCTTGAAAATGTAGATTGCTATAGCAAATTAGCTTTGGCAGACACGATACTTGACGACACATTCTGAACGGAAATCATCCTCCATAAGTTAAGAATGATTATAATATCCGCCAAGAGGCGATGCACTTAATTACAATTTACTTGCTTTATCGTTTTTTGAGGTTTCCTAAAATGCAGCACCAGCATTCTTTATTACAGAGAATAACAAAGGTGCAATCCCTTGTGTTCTATGGACCCGGATACAAGGGGTTTCGTACGAGATCACATCACAAGTTACACTATTTACATATGCTAAGGCGGAGTGCATCCCCGCTTTGAGGCTATATCTAGCAATTTGCAGAGTTATGTATCAAACTCTTTGGGTGAATGTAGGACCAACGCATTTAGTAAGTTAATCCAAGGGGTGTTTACTCGGGGTTTAAAGTTGAAAGGAAATAAAATCAGCTTTTAATGCCCATTCATTAAAGAAATGGCAAGTCGTCTCTTTGCGATTGTAAACCAGAGTCCTTTCCCTTAACAGGTGGGCTGAGCCCTAAAGTAAGACATGAACTGTTTAAAAACAGACAATCATGTTAACAACATGTTCAATGATACCGGTTACGCGAATTGCAAAGAAGATGCAAACAAATTTCGCTTAATAACTTGTTTTGCACAAAGCATTCACGGTTTTGACTAAATAAAAGGAATTGCAGCTTCCTTCTCAAATGAAAGACTGTTGCAAAACATCAATTACTGAAGTAGAAGTTTGACCACTAACTATACAAAGAGAGAAAAGCATCATGCATAATAGAAACGGTGACGTCGAAGAAATTCAAATCGAGGCTCAAACAGTAAAGAAATACTGAGGATTCTCTGTCCAAAATGAGTTGGATTCTCTGTTCAAAACTGATAACTTTAACAGAAATTACCAAAGTTGCAAAGAGTGGTGACACCCGGAGCATACCTTAAAACTTCAGCACAGCTAGGATCAGGGGGTGAACCTCGGTTAAAAAAGGTACTAGATAAACCTCAACAGTGTTTCTAGGAAATTGAAATAGAAAATTACAAATTGAAACAGAAAAGCAGTGTGCGTTTTGCATAGTTTTTATGGTTAGGACCATGGGGCATAGGCCTTTGGGATTCTACAGACTGTTTTTAAAATTTACCAGCGGCATGCTATCAAAAAAAAGGTGCAGGTTACAATTCACATCTAAAAACCAAATAAGAATTAAAGTGGGAAGAACGCGAGCCAATCACGTGATTTTGGGCTACAAAAATTCAATGCTTTTTAACAGCAAAAATGACGTCCTGAAATATGAAAAACGTGAGCTATGGGCAAATGGGTACAGAGCGAATTACTCAGGTGGCATCCACGAGCATCGGTTTTCAGAAGAAAAAGGAAAACCGCACTTAACGTGTGCAAGCAAGGCCCAAAAATCAGTCAAGCACCGCTGTGCTCATGAGGAAATTTATTTTCAAATTGCTGAGAAAAATCATTCATTGCCTTTAACCTTGTACAAGCACGGTTTCCTCGTAATAAGGATGAAGATATCGATTTCGTCTCGAAAACTGATTATTTTGCAACAGCAAATGAAACCGCATAAGGGCAAACAAAGACGACGTCATGGAAAGAGAGCCCTAAATGGCTGCTAGGGTAACTCTTACAGATGAATTTCAATCAATTCACTCTCAATTTCAGCAATTCGTGATTATTTAACCAGAGTCAAAATGCCTCCTTCTCAAAACTTCTTCAGATTTTTGGATTTGCTTCATATTTCTTACACTCTCTTTTTAAAAAATAAGAACACAAGCTGAGGCTGATGAATTGTAAAATATAAATTTGAACAAAGAAATAAAACGTCCTTAATAAAATTTCAGCTTAAAGACGAGGAATTTTTGCCATTAAGGTGTCTTTTTAAAGAATTTTCGACTTTTCGGCAAGTCAAGGCTGGCTCACTCACTTTCTTGCCAAATAGGGCCTGAACATCACCCTAGAGTGCAATAGCTAGTAACTGCACTGTTTATACACTAATAATTTAAGAACAAATAAACATAACCCAGCTTTAAAGTTTTGGAAAAATTAAGCCCTCCTAAACTTCAATCTACTGGTTTGTATAAAAGAGTTTAATCAAATAATAACGAGACAGAGAATTTTTGAAAAACTTTACTCTGTTGTTGCCTAAACATTTTCTTTATTCCTGTGGTAAATATCTGAAATATCTGTATATCACATTCCTTTGAAAAATGTACAGACTGGGTTTTGCTATAAGCAAACGGAGAAAGCCGTTTAAGAAAGAAAGCGACTATTATTTCGACAGCAAAAGGAAGAAAATTTTCTGTTTCATGCAGGTTTGACAAAAAGGATTAGAAGCAGACAACAGCCTCTTGTACGACTTTTTCATACATTCTAAATAGCGAGGAAATTCCAAGGATACTTCTGTCGACGCCATAGGGCCAGTCAGCCTTTTCCCAGCAGAAGTCAAGACACACAAAATTGGATAGCCCTTTATCATTGAAAAAGGATCAGGTTAGCATTCAATTTCTCCCCAAATGACTGCGATTATTCGTCTACAAGCAACACGACCTCATCCAAACAGATTTATTATGATCGTGATCGATGCTCCATAAGTCGTATTATTGTACTTTGTTGTACACATTATCATTGGTCGTGCCTAAGAAGTTCCTTAAAAGGGCAGCAAAGTTGATGAGACTCCTCCGCAGAAGGTTAAAATCCATTTTTCGCCAGTTCTTGAAAAAATTTCGCCAGCTCTTGATGGTCAAATGCCTTGCATGATGAGATGAACGTGAATGCGTTTATTATCCCAGAAAATTGGTCACAAGATAGCAAAAAACAGTGAAAGACATATCATCAACGTCAGTAATTTGTCGAAATTCAGTTCTATAGAAATCGCTTTACCCAAGATCTGGCCTTAACGTTCTAAAAATGTTTGATGCGATTGCCAAATTGTAATGATTTTGTAACGTCAAATTCACTTCCGCAGAAATTTGATCGAAAATTATTTTTAAAGTTTGCTCACCTTGCTAGAAATGACACCAGAGAGATAGTCAACATGAAATTTGTCGACACAAGCGGGAAGAGATGAGCCATTGCATGGCAAAAGCTTGTAAAAGACCTGGATGTTGGAGATGGAAACATCAAGTACTGGTTGGGGCTCTTGATTTTCAGGAACAACGATGTGGTAAGTGTCATTGGAGAATCCGGGCTTTCTTTTGGCTGGGTAGACGGTAATCTAAAAAAGGAATATGTAGCTAAATTATTAGTTGTACAATAAATATGTGCCTATATTAGTGCCATTCTAACAAATATAATATGTCTTAATGAATACTTAACACGGTCTCATAACAACATCACCATACATTTCTATGTACATAAACATTTATAAACACGTTCAATTTAAATAAAATTGATCTTCTTTGCAATAGGCCAAATATTTAATCACATCAAATTACGCGGTAGGATCAACTGTGTACCCGGACAAAAAAATCAGCAAAGGGAAACCATTAAATCATTCTTTTGAAAACATAATGAAATATTAATGAGTCATAAACTCTGTGCAACTACGAAGACTTAAGACAGGTTTATTGTCAAGAATATTCAGTGCTGAAATAAAAATGATGCACTTAATAGATTTGAAGGCAAACGATGCATGCAAATTCAGAAATACGTAGGCTGCTACAATCTGTTGACAAATTGGCCCTAGCGATGCTGTTCGTTTTCAATCGACTCACGACCTCAAACGTTTAGGCAACAAAAATGCAGTCATGCAAATAGTTCGAGTATTGATAGCAGAACAAAAAAGCTACATGTTATAGTTTTCACAATCTGTTTTTCGCTTCAATCTCTTTCTAGCTTTGCCAACTGCTACTTTCTATGAGCGGCAATTTTAGAAGGCACAAAGGACAAAAAACGAGTTATGAGCAGACTTTGCGTGGCTAATTACAGGGTATATTTCAGTGCGAGGTGTGGTTTCCTGTGAACAGTATCACTTACAATAATTCGGTCTTACTACCTCAAACAAACGTACATAATTCACAGTAAGCTCACATTTAGGCCGACTGCCCTGGTGACCTAAGCGAAACGAAGATCTCATCCCGTGCCTAATCGCGTTTCTGTTCTCAAAATAATCACTCTTAAGAGTAGTTCTAAACACAAATGGTCATTTTAAATCCATGCGCGCAAAATAACCTTTTCTCCCGAGATTTGATTATGGAATTCATACGTAAGATGATTACTGTAGATATTTGTACACAAACTTCTCTGCTTAGAAACTAAACCGGCATACGCCTCAAAAGATAAGCCTGGGCACTGGCTTGTGTATAGTGGTTTTACTTTGCATTGTTATTATCACAAAGTTATAGCCATTTTCTTAATTTGAAGATGAAAAGTCTTCTTTGCAATCCGCAGACACGAGCATGAAGCAAGGAAGAGATTTAAAGCGGTGATGCAAAATTCGGCTGTAGAAGCACCTCAGAAGGAAGCAAAAAGCAGCTGATCCTGTTCATGACTTTTCAATGGGAAGCATACTTGTCTTCCCAACTGATACCCTAAAATCACTTTTTAGCATGCTAATCTCTCTTCCTGACCTGCACTGCATCAAAAGCGATGATCTTTTGGATTAAAAATTAGATTACAGCCCCATTCTTTGCGAGCATGCTAATATACGACCCAGTGACGGATCTCTTTCACAATTGAATATACATTTGTCTTCATTACTTTGTGGTATTCTTCCCATCTATATTCAATTGCCGTTCGTGTCAGCGTGTGAACCACGGGTGTTTCTACACCTCGGCGCATTAGGCAGCGCGGTTTGTCCATGTAAAATAAGGCTGTACACTCTTTTTTTATAAGAAAATTTTTATAAGAACAAGAGCCTCAAAACTGGTCAAAAGTTACGGAGAAATTAAGAACAAGCTGAGGCTGAGCTACTGTAAAATGAAATTTTGAACAACGTTTTATCTCAAAAACGAGGGTTTTTAGCCATATGTGGTTGTTTTTTCGATGAATATTCAAACATGGCGGCAAATGAAAGTTGTCTCACGCACTTTGTTGGAAAAAGAGGTCTGAACACCTCCCCAGAACGAAAAGCTAGCAATTGCACTGCTTACACCCTGTTAATTTAAGAGCAAATTAAGAACAATCCAGCCTCAGGTTTTCGAAAAAATTAAGAACAATCAGCCTGAACACAAATTTACTGGATCTTATCAAAAAAAGAGTGTATCTGTATACAAGATCCCTGCTGATGGAAAGCTGACATGAATTCAGAAGTTCTTTGTTTTGATTGGTTAACACCTAGCTATTTGAACGTTGATTGGTTTAGATCAGGCTACATTCCCCCTCAAAGCATGCTTCTTGAAAAGAGACACTCTACCTTTAACATAGTTGTGGCCGAGATGCTCAAAAAGAAGAACGACATTAAATCATTCCTATGTCTCGAAGCCTGCACCAACATGTGTACCATTCTATATTATTATTATTATTATTATTATTATTATTATTGCTATTATTATTTTATGTTTATTTAGAGTAGGCGTATAAAAATAGCTACAAAATAAAAGCTAATTCAAGCCTACGATGCTAATTCAAGCCTACGATGCTAATTCAAGATGCGATGCTCATTCGAGATGCGAGAGGAGCTACAATTTACGCACGCTTTCTTGAGAGAATGGGGCTATTCAGCTGCAAGGAGCTTAAATGCTGCCCCCGTGCATCCCAGGAGTGCGCTTTTGCAAGCATTTAATCGGGCTTTGGTTATCACCAATGTTTTACTTCCGTGTGGAAACATTGTTTCAAAAGACTTGGCGGAGGGTGAAAGGCTGTGGTGTGCAACTGACGCTGAAGAGGCACGATACCGGAATTTCATTATTATCACTAGAAAGCAATTTAATTTAGTAATGAAGTAAGCCGACTGCAGGATACAATTGTACGCGTTAATTTAGTAAACTGACCGAGGTCGTCTTAATTTTTATCCAGTGACAAGTGTCTTAAGCGTCAACTGTGATACAATCCTTCTCATTCTAGGGTTGCTTCCACTAATTAACGTTCTAATAAAGAGACCTGGCAAGTGTTAAAAACGTCATTTTCGTGTTCAACAGCTACACGCGAAAATGGCTGCGTGCATACCCTACGGAGGAGAGAGGAAACGCAGGCAAAAAGCGGTTCCATCGATGAAACCTCTTTCTTGTGGCAAACTGGTTAAAGAAAGTCCAGCAAGCTCAGTTCAATACTTTTCGTATATGAAACACTGTAAGAGAATGCTTGCAAAATATTGAAAAGAAAAAAGAACCCATTAGTAATTGAGTATTTCGGAAAGTCTTTCAAGACTTTGCTTTTGAATATCAAATGTGTTGCTGGTCGGAATTTCATAAGAAATACTATCTCAAGGCTTTCCAGCAAATTAACGGTTATTGGATAAATAAACCTAAGAACTGAAGTAAGCAGGAATAAAGGAATACCGATTCCAAAGAGAAAACATGAAATGCGACAAAGAAAATTGGAAATTGAAGTTGAAATCCAGTGAATTCGTCACCAGGAAAATCCTTAATCCTTTTTAAGGTAATGGAGACGAATGAATGCTTTGAGGTCTAACTCGTGACCTTAAGGCGACAATACGGTTACGGAAACCAAGACGCACACCTCTTTATGGACAACAGTCAGTTTCGTTCGCAGAAAGACAATATTTCATGATGAGGTTTTACAGGTTTAAGGAATTTTTAATAGGCCTTTATCCCATACCTTAAAACTGACCACATTTTGGACCTTGCATTCTTTGGTGTTTAACGCATTTTTGTGAGAATTATAAGCAGAGACAAGAAATCATCGCGGCCATTCAGTTGAAGGCCGTGGGTACAGCCAATTAAATCGAAAGAAACTTAAGTGACACGCCTCATCTTACTTTCACTGTTTTCCGAGGAAAGTTTGCAGAGCTTCAAGAAAATGTCTGGAGGGAGAACTAACACTTTTCTCGAATCTAATGATGAAATTCTTTCATATCAAGGGTGTTATAACTATCGGGCCTCCAGTACGGGCTTTGAACGACATCATGGTTGTTGCGATTTGTGACCAGTATATTGAATTAGAAAAACACAACGCATAGTTGTAAATTTTCATTTGCTCTACAACAGCCCGAAGACTAATTCAAGGAACATTTCATCTTCTATCTTTCATTTAAGAAAGACCTTAGTATTGAAAAAATGAAGTAGTAAGCTATCCAGTTTCCGTAATTCTCATAGTCTGCCTTTGTTTCTTGGTTTGATCGCCCAAAATGAGAAAATTCAAGGCTCTTGCAGCTGAATCGGTCATTTGAGGAAGAAAATACTCACTCATTTCACAATGCAATGTCGATTTTTTACGAAATGTATTGACAGAACGAAACAGGAAGATGACAGGTGAAGTTACAAAAGGCGAATTGAGGTCAATACCGAAACATAAATTATTCAAACTTAGGATTGAAAATGGTCCGGATAAGTTCGTTAAATTTGACTTTGTTTATGGAGGCCATTTTGTGTGTTGGTATGCTAATCCTGGTTTCATTATTCTATTGAGGTCAACATCTCTGCATATTCTAAATTGCATTCAAACTTTACTGTTGTGGTGAATCGATTTGATCATATCGGCAAGGTTTTTATGGTCTATAATGCTTCTTTGGCGTTCAATTCAAGCAAATGATAATGAATGTGAAAATCAAACAATCGTTGTTTCACAATTATAAATAATGCATAACCTGCTATTGCTAGTGCTCAGATAAAATGATAAGAGCTCTCAATCTCGCTATTACAAAATGTAAGTCGTTACATTGACATCGATTTCGATTCATTGACGCCCATTGTGTTTTGAAGTTCCATTGCATATTAAGATTTTTGGCATTTTTCGAACAAACAAACGGCACCACTCACAGGAAAATAAGATCTAGCCTTAGGACCCCTTAATTTGCTTCTCTGATCTCCTAGTTTAAGGCATTCCCTGTGGTCAACCGTAGGAAATTGCTGAGGAATTTTTAAAACCAAAGTCTGAAAGGAAATATTTAAGTGATTGCTATTTGATTGGGATTAAGGTCGACTATTGGGGGGAGGTGTTAATATAAAAAATCTGTGATGCAATCATTCGGCATCAAAAGGGGCATCGAAATATGTCGGACTAACAGGAATATAAGAGGTCAAACCTTTCAAAGGAAATCACTGATCATTTTGATTGAAATAGTGCACCTTCCAAATTAAGTATGATCAAAGATATTTGGGCATTATAAGTTGGCCTTTCGGTTTCGGAACAGGTTTCGGAACAATACGCCTACAAAAAGATTGAAAATCGAGAAACGAACTAACCTTGACTTTTGACTGATCCTTAAACGTACGCACTAGGCCAGAATCAGAAACTTCTACATCAATTGAAAATGTGCTTTTTTGATCTGACGCGAAACTCTGGCCAGAAGATATGACACCAGTGACAGAGTCGATGGAAAAGTGCCCACCACTGTTACCGCCAGTAATAGAGAACTTAAGAAGGGCGTTGGTTCCAATATCGTCATCTACGGCTAGAAGTCTTAGAATTGGAACACCAACGGGTATTGGACTAAAAACGTTTGTTGTGTACACGTGTTGTGTGAACCTACGAGGAATCGCAAACATTTAACAAGCAAATACAAATAGGTAAAGAATTTTCCATGCAAAGCAAAATGGCTGAAGATTACAGCATGGATAAAATAACTATTATGCTCTTATACAAGGCAGTTGAAAAATAGAATTGACAATTACAAGCAAGTAGAATGACTTGTGGGCATTCAAAGGTTCCAAGCAAGGCTGCATGGAACTTAACTTTAAAACATACATACCATGCAATCTAGTAACATTTAAATCACAAAGCAATCATGACCACAACTAATTCATCATTCAACAAACCATTCTTTACTTTGTACACAAGCATACCACAACAGAATCTTACTTGTGACAACCACCAGTTTTCTTTACTAATTGACATAAATTTGCTGATTTGATAAGAAACATAACTAACCTTGGCTTGTGGTCATTTGCATCCTTAATGTCCACTTTAACACAATATGTTGTTCGCAGCACTGTAACTGATGTGTGATCTTCTGCAAGCAGTGTCAAGATATAGTTACTTTGAACTTCTCTATCAAATGAATGGAATGCTTTTATTTTCCCTGATAGCACATCAACTTCGAAAGGAACAGTATCATTGAAGCGAGGGTTTACACCAATCAATTTGTATACAAGCTTCCCTTTGGAGATGCTATCTGGATCCAGAGCTGCAACAAATACATATTGTGACCTTTAGATTTTAATGGTTGGCTTGGCTCAGGGATATTTTAATGAGTTAGATAACAATGGCAGCTGATAACATGATTCTTTAGGTTAGAAGCAATGATGGCCTATATACCTTTTTGATAAAAAAGATAGAGTAAACATTAGGTGTGTGGATGTGCAAACTTCCTCAACAGTCTTGTAAATATCATTGTATCATTATTATTATTATGAGAAAGTATGTATGATTATTATTAGAAAGTATAAAAGATGATAAAAATATCATTGATTAATGCACATGTATTTGCCAATGGTTTAATACAAAGAGAAATCTTGTCTGTGACTTCTGTCTCTTTGATTATTGGTGATCAAGCACTGATTGAATGACAAAAAACTACAGTCTTCATATATAGAAAGGATACAACCAAAGACTTTTCTTTCAGTTTCATTTTAAATGAGACATTCATTACTTTGCCATTGGAATGTTATCCCCCAAATATTTTCATTCCAGAAGGCTTACTTGTACTAAAGAGACAATTCAATTAATACAAGGCAGATACACAATCCTGTAAAACAGAAATTGTTCTTTGCTTCTAATCTCACAATGCAACATTTTGTAAATATTTTGAAAATGAACAATTAGTTTTAGAGCTTTGGCAAAAAAGAACCATTGTACATATATGAAAGGAATCTTTTCAGTGCTGCTCTAGAGCCCTTAACTGCTACATGCAATGACTGAAATCACCTTAGTTTTAATTCATATCAGTACAAAGATAATTATTATGCTACGTTGTAATGGCAGGTATAGAATACAAATGCCATATTCGGTTTGCTCCATTTGTTTGACAACTTGAAGATGCCAAAGTAAACAGTTGCAGGTAAGGGCAGGGTCAGGTACCTACAAACAGCAATCAATTGAAAACAATGAAGGCATAAAACAAGGAACACCACAGATCATTGAGAATTAACCGTAAATGTGCTGATATTCTACTCTAGGATTCTTAAGAGCCAAAAAAACATAAATATTGCATGTACAGCAAATTAAAAAATTGAAAAAACATTGGCTTACCTTCAATTTGGGCAATGACTTTATTTCTTCCCTCATTTTCAAGAGCTTCAGCTTGGTAGCAGCTTTGAGATGTTTTGGGGGCATTGTCATTAAGATCCTCAACCAAGATGATAAAAACTGCTGAGTCTGATGAGTGGCCATTGTTAACGCTGATGACGATATCATATCTTACTTTTGTTTCATAGTCCAACTCAGAAATCTGGCTCAAATCTCCAAAATCGCTTATGTGAAATTTGTTATCTTCATTACCAGAAACAATAGTGAATTTCAAAAACCCCTCTTGGCCTAACACCAGCTTTGAGAGATGTTCAATGTGCTGTTGTTTGAGAATCCTTTCTGTCGACTCTTTGATTTTGTAAGTAAATGATTTTTCCTTAAATCTCACAGAACCAATTCCTTCACTTGGTCTTGCTTTAACACCAACTTCCAGATATGCTACAGTAGATTTTGGTGGAGTACCTCTATCTGAGATGCTTATACTTAAAAATTGATCTTCAAATGCAGTCAATTTTTCCTTTGTAGTAACAACACCTTTTGAGTCAATATCAAACAGGGAACCCTTCTCTAAAATTTCAAAGCTTAACTCTCCATTCTTACCAATGTCTCTGTCAAATCCAACAATTTGTGTAACAAATGTTCCAAATTTTTGAGCATCCTGTTCCCATATGGTTGATACTTTATAAGAGGCTTCGGGGGTATTATCATTTGTATCATCCACAGCTATTAACACACTGGCAAATGACAGCTGGTCTGCCAAGTCACGTTTGGAAACAGAAATGTTAAGCCTGTATGTGTCATGTGTTTCCCTGTCCAGTGATCTTGTTGTCTGTACTGTACCATTTGAATTCACAGCAAAATGCTTGAGAGCATTTCCATCCACAATATTGAAAACAAGATCTGAAACTTGCATTCTTGAGTTTGGGTCAACAACTGACAGCTGCAAAACATTGGTCTTTGCAGGCAAGTTTTCCTCCACAGAAACTCTGTACACGGTTGGATCAAAGTAAGGTGCCTTCATTACATTGTTTCTTTTGAGGAGAAGAATAGCAGCATTACTGTATACTTCAGGGTTGTCTTTCAAATGTGCATTTACAGTCAACCAGTAATTGGATCTTGGCTTCATAGTTTTGTCCCCTGTTGTTGTGCGAGATATGGTGCCAGTTTTTGAATCAATTTTGAAATCTCCTATTCCAGAACCATCAACTATTTTGTATTGAAGCTCTCTAGACCCTTCAAAAGCAGCATCAATTGTAATGATATCATTTTGATTCTTGATGTCTACAACAATAGGATTCTCTGATCTTAAGAATCTTGGTCTCTCAGAGGAAACTGATGGCTTAAGCCTGCAAACAAAGTGGCAACTACTAGATAGTGAGGGAGCACCAAGATCTTTAACAATAATTGATATATTATACACATGGTCCTTTGCAAGTTGACCAATAGTGAAAACATTGGTTCTTAGAATGCCATACTCATTATCAATGTGAAATATCCTTTGAAGTTTTCCTCTAGCAATATCATATCTCACTTTTCCTCCATTGCCTGTATCTGGATCAAAAGCAAAAACTTTTCCAAGCACTGCACCAGCAGGAAAATCCCGTGTGATCTCAACAGTTTGAATTGCAGGCAAACATTTTGGTGGAGTATCATTGACATCTTCAATGGATATTTCAACTGTTGTTTGACTCACTTTCTGATCCTGACTTGACCTATCTGATGCTTGTATGGTGATAATATACTTATTCTGCTTTTCATAATCCAAGCTAGAATTCAATGTTATCAAACCAGTATACTTGTTGAGAAAAAATAGATCTTTGTAGTCACTAAGCATCGAATAAATTACTTCTCCATTTCTCTTTTTATCAGGGTCACTAGCACTCACTTGTACCAGTCTTGTGCCAGGTTGTGTTTGCTCCGAAACAGAAAAATGATACTTTTTCTGGGAAAAAATTGGTCCATTGTCATTCACATCTGCAACCTGAATCTGAACATCAACCTCAGCATATTGGGGTGGACTGTCAGTATCATAGGCTCGTATTCTCAGTGTATAGAATGATGTTTGCTCCCTGTCAAGTTTTGATGATAAATATATTGTCCCATTCAACATATCAATTCCAAAATTGCTATCAACATTGTAACTCCCAGATATAATTGAGTAAAGGACCAAGCCATAGCATTTCAGCTGTCTATCAACAGCTAAAATTGTTGTAATATAACTTCCAACAGGCAGGTTTTCTGACAGCAAAATTGGATTTTCTGGTTTCTCTAAAAAAATTGGTTTGTGGACTTTTCTCTGGGGTGTGACAATTGGGCTAAACTGTTCTACTTTCAAACCTTTCTCCCACTTAGATCTTTCACTGATTGTTTTCTTTACCAAATCAAATAATGGATTGTCTGTACAACTTACATTGACAGTTCTTTGATGATTATTTGTAACAACAAATACCACCAAATCCAATTTATGTGACAAAAATTTTCCATCAGAAACACTGATGCTTATATGGTGCCTTTTTCGATCAGCTGGAATAGACTTTAGGGTCAGATCACCAGTATGTTTTCCAATACTGAACATATTGCCACTTGCGTTATAGATATAACCTGTAGTTGATTGGTCAAGATCTAAGGCATTGATTCTCATCACTTTTGTACCAAGTCTTGCATTTTCTGCCACACGAATTCTGCAGCTTAGAAATGGCATTACAGGTGGGTTGTCATTGGTCCCTTTAATCGTAACTTTCAAAATCATCCTTCCTTCGCGTTTTATTGGGGCTCCGAAATCTGAAGCTCTTAACAACAGGTACAATGTTTGTGGAACTGATTTCTCACCATCCCTGTCAAGTCTTTTTACCACCTGCACAGCACCATTGAAGGGGTCAATATCAAAGTAAGTTTCATTGGCATTAGCAATTGAATATATGATCTTGCCATTTAATCCTGTATCTAAGTCACTTGCCTTGGCGTTGTATATCACTGTGCCTGGTGGGGTCTCCTCTACAATTTCAGTCGAATCCTGAAACTGTTTAAATACTGGAGAATGGTCATTGCTGTCCAAAACATTTATAGTTACTGTTGCTTTCCCTTTAATCCGGTTTCTGTGGAGAGCAATTACTGTCAGGTTGTAAACCTTGGCCTTTTCATAGTCCAGCCATTCAACGGTGTAAACCTGTCCAGTACGGCTATTAATGTGGAAAAATCCCCGCTCGTTTCCATCAACCAAACCAAAAAGAACATTAGGAAATATTTTCTTCGACTCTTGTTTTATTTCAACTCGGACGATAGGAGTAAATGGGGGTGATATTTCCGCCACTGAAGCGATGTAGGCACTGTTCGAGAATAGCAGCGATCGATGTTTGTTGCCATCAAAATTTTCCTGTCGCTTGTCACGCCGGCGGCCACTTTCCGGGTAGCCTTCAACATCTAAAATGTTTATTCTGACTGGCAATGGGTCTGATTGTTGCTGCAGTTTCCCATATGGACACATATCTTTTGCAATAATGTGGAAATCGTAAGAACGTTTACGTTTGAAATCCAAAGGCTTGATAAGCGACAACGCGCCAGTCCGGTAATTCAAAGAAAAATCTCCTATCTTTAAGACTTGGCTAGGTTCGATGAAATAAAGAACTTCGCCGTTCAACCCACTATCAGGATCGTTTGCTTTAACTCTCAAAACTGTACTCCCAACCTTCACGTTTTCTTTAATATTTATTTCGATACTTCGGTTAACAAACTGTGGTTTGAATTCGTTGATATCCAAGACGTGCAGATATATTTTTGTGCGATCTATCAACTCTCTAGTTCGACTGTCGCGGGCGATAACATTTATAGTGTAAACAGACTGAATATTCGAATTCAAAACGCCGTTTGGCATGACTCTCAGGAAAACAAAATCAGCAATTTTCTGCGATCGAACTGAGAACCTTTTAAAATCATCAACAACTTCATAATCGATTTGCGTGTGAGCATCATAAATATAAATACCCATTTTCATATCACATTTTATTGTTGTCCATGTGCTTGTATGAGATTCCTTTATACTTGCATTGTAAAATCCATACGAACCGCTAGTAAAACGGAGACGCGACTGTGTTCCCTTCTCCTCACGTTTTACATAGCGACCACGAATCTGGACTTGTGAAGTAGCGACCTGCAGCAAAAGGACAACAACTAGCAGCACTTTCGCCCCATCCATAGTTCGGCATGAATTTCGAAGAGTCAATGCTGTGGCGGTTTCGGTCCGTTTTGTTCTCGTACTTCTTGTCAAGGAACAAACCTTCGTATTTCTGCCAACTAAACTGTCCTCACGTGTAACCGAAAGTAACGGGAGTATCGCTTAGCCAAACATCAACTTCGCATCTTGACGAAAAACGTTAAACTCACGAGCAAATGATATGGGTTCAAAATAAGAAACATTCGCTCACAAATACATTTCAAGTTCTATGCCACATTCAGAAATCGAAATTGGTTCAAAATCCCCGCAATGACGATTTCCCTTCCCTTCGTATTACTTGTGGCATTTCCTTTCATAGGGAATTCGCCTAACTTTTCTACATAACATCCGTCTCTTTACAAAAATACTCATTCATTCCTTCAGACAGCGAAACAGTAGTTATCGGTCACACAGATGAGTTTTAAGATCATCCTTGACAACCGTGCACAGAACAAAAGATTGTCAATCGTCAATTATCGGCATGTTGAGGTCAGCCAATCAGACTAATGTAATAGAACAAGAGCGTCAATCAATGTAAACCCATAGCGACAGCTCTCGTGAAATGACTAGTGGCGCAATGGGTTGGTTAGCCTCTGACGTATGGCTTCTTCGGAAATAACGTCTAAAATTCTTGTAGAATAAATTAATCATGAATGATAATTAATTTCACGAATCTGAAATTATCGAAAAATCGAAACTGTGCCACTTTTTTAGCAACTGTATTACATGATTTTGGTAAAGCTGGTTCAAAATATTGGACAGAGTGCAAACAGGATAGTTGAGTCATTTGCCTTTAGTTACATCGTTATTCACTACTGATTTAAACAAACAGCCAAATCCCACAGCAGCGATCGTCCACGCGTTCAAAGAGACCTCCAGACGCCACCAAAGAAAAGGCAAAACTTTTCACTACACAGTCAGCTCAAATTTTTCTATAGCCCTGTGTTTCAGAGGTCTCTTAAAAAGCCGAAATATCAATAAATAATCTCCCACTTTTGTTCTTGTTTATTGTTTGGCTCTTTTAATAAACACAGCCAAAAGATAACTTATTGTTTACAAATGTATACAGACTGGGAAGCACGATATTCAAGCAATGGGGAAGCCCCAGTTGGCCCCAGTCAGCCCCAATTTGTGGTATCTTTTACAGATGGAAACAAAACAAAGGAAGCGTTGAAATAAGGAAGGCCTGTCCGGACAAGCTTGAGTTAACAAAGGATGTCCTTTGCAGTTATTAATTACAGTTTGGCTTTGTACTGGAGAATGAAGATCCTGGCCAACTTCTTCAAAACAATGCACAAACAAAGAAAGAAGTGGAGTCAACAAATTTGTTGAGGCAATGTTACCCTAACCGGCTCATTTATTGAAACATACAGTAATGAAACCAGCTCCTGGAGGAGGAGCCAATGGTAACAACTCAGTGCAGTCGGAACGAAATTCAATTTGGGGGGGGGGGCTGCCCATTGTATTCCTTCTCACTCATTACATTGGTTTAAGGGGAAATATACTACAATTATCAGGAAATATTGGGGCCGAGACACCCAATAATTTACACGATTTTAAGTGTTTTCTTTCAAAATGTCGTCAAAATTGGACCTTAAAATGAGCTGGGCTTTGCGTGCTCATAAGAATAGGAACTGAGCTGAGCTGAACAGTAGAGCCGAGCTTTTTGCAAATCCTTCTGCTATGGGTCTTTTATTTGCCCTTGCTCCCCCCCCCCAACTTTTCAACATTTGTCCGAGCTCCTGTGTATGCTTTTCCCATTTACCAAACTGGAAAGCAAGAAATGTGAATTTGTTTTCCACAAAAGGGGGGCTATGCCCCCAGCCCCCTCCTTCGTTGGGGGCCCTGTGCTGTCCTGCTTGCTGTCAAACGGAAATTATGAATATTTACACTTTTCAAAAGATGCAAATCTGTTTTTATAACAAAATCTTTGCTAATATGCTAGAAATCGGAAAGGGATGATTTGGCAAGAGCAAAACCCACCTAGATCAAAATCTCTGCTCTGCAATCACTTTGCTACAACAAGTATAAATGGATCTAAGGAACGAATTATCTCTAATGGGGCATCCGCTCTTTGAAAATAAAAGAAAAGAGACACTTACCATTAAAAATAGATTTATTTTGAAAGTCAAGAAGATACCAAGTACCTTTTCTCATTCATTTTCCAATGGCTCGAAATAAGAGCTGACCCAAAATATTATCTTTAACTGGGAAGAGCAGTACTCTATATATCTTTTCATTAGCCGTGTTTTGCATAATTTTTCTTTCTGCTACATTTAGCAAAGAATCTTTGTAAAATCAAATAGCTGATTGGCATTTGTTGGTGATTATCATATAACGAAAACATGGAAGGTATAGCACCCTTAGGATCGTGGAAAGAATTCGATACAAGGTTGGCAAAACGTCATTGAAAGTGAGGGAATGTTCGGATTATTCAGGCTGTTAAATGAATGCCATAAAATTTTTTGGCAATAAAGCACTCATTGTATGGTCGGTGTCATATGCGTTTCGGTAACCTTATACATTTTGGTCCAGGTACACAATCGCATGACAATGTTGGTTATATAAAAACGTACCCAAGCATCTAAACAATTGGGTACCAAAACGAATGGTTGAATTTAGCATGCAAAACAGTTAGGGTACACAAACGCATGACAATTTTGGTAATGAAAAACGTACCCAAGCACTTAAACATTAGGGTACCAAGACATAGAATCTAGCATGCAAAATGGTCCGGGTACACAAAGGCATGACAATTTTGGTAATGAAAAACGTACCCAAGCACTTAAACAATAGGAAGAATCTAGCATGCAAAACGGTCCGGGTACACAAACGCATGACAATTTTGGTAATGAAAAACGTACCCAAGCACTTAAACAATAGGGTACCAAGACAAATGGTAGAATCTAGCATGCAAAACGGTCCGGGTACACAAGTGCATGTGCAGGATAAGTCAATCAGGAAAATAATTTCTCGAAATTCATATAAATCCAAGCTTCAAAGCTTAGGCCGAGCCATCGCCAGCTGCAATCACGGATTGGAACTTTAGAAAGGCTGGTTGGATAGAATAGCAAGCTGAACATGGAAATTCGTCGAAGCAAATTTTAGACTCCCTAGGTGCATGAAAAAAAGTAATCGTACTTTTTTCATCAAAACAGATTTGTGGCCTGGGTGCCAGAGTGCAGAAAATGAAGAGAAGAGCAGAGAAGAGTCTCGGGTACTTTAAGATTGTTCTTATTTCAAAATTGAGTTTTCTGCAACTGCATACTAACAGTTTCAAAGATCACTAAAAAACGGTTTTCAAGACATTTGTAGTACTGATAAGCTGATATATCTGTTCTGTTTTTTGACATTAAAGTCGATTAGAAATATTTGCTTTTAATGTTCAAAGGTTGTTCCTATTTTTTGTCGAATCGAGCCTCCGTGTTCTTATAAAGTGTGATCTGTCAAAGAAACAGGAGTGTAACCTCAAAGTTCTATTATTACACACTCTTTATAAGAATAAAGTCTATAAGAATATTGAGACCCAAAATTGCTGAAATTTAAGAATAATAACCCAAGGCTCAAGCTTTGTCAAGAATTTTATCATATGCTGATTTGAGTATTTTGGAAAGCAAAAAATGCGAGTCTCGCGCTATTAAATGTCTTGAGATAAGACGTATTCAGCCTTGGAGTCATTCAGGGACGCCTGCACAAGATTAGGGCGGGAGGGGCAGTGTTGGTGCTGAGGGCAAATCGTAGAATTTTTCTACTAACATGATCGAGTATTCCTATTTAAGGAAGGAGGGTGGAGTAACATAACAAAATGTTAACATGCATATGTGACGACCTACAGCTGAGTTTTTCTACCATCAATGATAGCAAATACTGTTTTATCCATCTTTGGTTTCTGGAGTACTTTTCAGGGAACAGGTCTCTTATTTATCTACTATTATCTTTGCCGCTCTCCCTCTTTTTACCCACCTTGCTACAGGCAGCCTTTTCTAATATTTTCTAATAGAAATTAACATAACGAGTGCGGTCAAAGTGATCATCAATAATCAATAAGATTCTGTAATATTTTCTTACATTTCAGGGCACTTCTTGCCCCCTCTGCCCCTCTTCGAAGAGGGCAGGAGGGGCAGTTGCCCCTCCAGCCCCCCTGGTGTTGGCGCCCCTGGAGTCATTAAGCCTATTGGGCTCAGTTAATACGACTCAGTTACGTCTTGTGTCGCTTAAGAATAATTTAAGAATATTAAGGCTTGGCAAAAAATGAGGTATTCTTATAAAAAAGTGAGCATACCCATATAAGCAATCAGCAATCAATGGGAAATGAGTATAAAACAGGGACGTTGTGGCCCCTAGAAAAGGGCCGGGAGAAAATGATCATAAGAGGGCCTGCTCATTTGTATGACATCTCCAATCACAAACCACAGGTCGCCAAGAATGGTACGTACCTGGAAACCATGCACCTACGAAAAATTAAAAAGATGCCAGTTTTTATCAGCTTTAAAGGTTCATTTGCCATGTTTGTTGTGGTGTGTCCTCTTTTCTCTAACCACAGTCTCTTTAAGACTGCAAAAAATGTGAAATAAGTCAAATGCTTTTGTCCACATTTGCTACAAACACAAACATGACAGAGCACTTTTCCGGCCATGCCCTTTAAATTAGCTTGAAATACATTTCAAAATGTCTTTTACAGTTGTTTACCAAGTTTTACAACTTTTTAGGCATACTTTGTTGCGTTTCGTTAAAATTCAGTCCTTAAATTGGAATTCCTGGCTTTAAGAGACCTCTATACCTCGAGATCTTGGGGCAGTTTGCCCTTCCTTGTCCCCCTCTCAGCGGCCCTGTTTTAATTCACGCATCTCTTTCACAGAGGTCTGTTTGTCCTGGGTTTTACAAACTCACTTGAAAGGGGCCCACCGGGTCAAAGAATAGAATGTCCTGCCCAAGCCCCAGCTTGGAAGTACTTAAAAGTCGGTAACAAAATGATATTTCATTTTGTAGTTGTTTCAGCGACCCCGGCGTGAGAATAAGGCCTTCATTTTCGCTCATGTGTTCGAGTTACCCTGGGTACCAGACTCACTATATAAAATAAAATCTATTATTTTATATAGTGAGGCTGGTACCCAGGGTAGTTCTCGAGTGTGTTGGCAGATTTTTGAACATGTTCATAAAAATGTAAAAACCTTGAAAGGGACATTTAATTTCAATAACATAGGTGAATAAACGTGACCAAAGATTCAAATATATGCGCTTAATGTGACTGGTTATTTTTTGTGATTAATATGATATCTATGCGATTAATGTGTTTTTTTGTGATTAATGTGATTAATGTGATTGATTTGTGATTTAAGTGTGATTATTTTTGAGAGCGTACGTGATTTTAAGCAGTGATATGCCTCTCGGTCAAGAGGTATCACCCTTCTCTTAATGATATAAAAGGACTGCATTCTGTGTCATCCTTTATGAGTCTTT